GCGAGTGCTGCCCCACCAGCGGGAGCGGCGAGGGCTGCCCCGCAGGCCGACGGCACGGCGAGGCCCGAGGCGGCGTCGAAGGACGCGCCTGAGGGGCATGTCGTTTCTCGGGCAGCGGCGATAGCTGCGCCTGAGCGGGTCGCCGAAGGGCGAGACCTCGGTTCGGAGTACTTCGGGAAGATGCTGGCTGAGGCCACCGTGGCAGAGCTCAAGGAGGAGCTCAGGTGGCGGAAGCTGCCAGTGAGCGGCTTGAAGGCGGACCTCATCGTCCGTCTGTCGAGGGACGGCGGCCAGCACATGGCCAGCAGTGAGGGGCTGGCTGCAGCGGCGTGGGCCGCGCGGCTGGTTCCAGGCCTATCCGAGCGTTTCGCTCGGATGCGAGTCTAGGCTCGCACCTAGGCGCGCTTCTCAGCAGCACGGGGTAGGTCCGAGCCGAATGCAAGACCCTTTGAGGGCCACCCAAGACGGGTGAGGGCGCGGCCAGAGGCCGCTCCTTTGAGCCGAGGGCGCGCGTCGGGCGCGGGCGCGCGGGAGCCGCGGCGGGGACGCCCGCTTTGGCTTGAGCTTGAGCCTTCAGACGGAGGCTCGAGCCGCAGTACAGAGAAGATGCAAGGCGATGCGCTCGCCTGCATCTTGGAGGCGTGTTGACTGTACATGCTAATCTGTAGCCCCTTGGTCCAAGTAAAAACCATCAACAGACCCAGTTCCCCCCCCCCGCCCCGACCATTTATTCAGCGTCGCGTCGCCCCCCCCTTCCCCAGCGTTCCCCCGCGTCCGAGTGGAACCTCCGCCCAGTGCCCCCTCCGCCCCGACCATTTTATTCCGCGTCGCACCGCACCCTCCCCCCATCCCTAGCGTTCCCTTGTGGCCCAGTGGAGCCCCCGCCTAGTTCCCCCCACGCCCCGACCATTACGTGCCGCGTCGCGTCGCGTCGCACCCCCCCACCCCGCCCCCGCCGCCCCCTCCCCAGCGTTCCCCAGCGGCACAGTGCCCCATCCGCCCCGACCACTCCATGTCGCGTCGCGTAGCACCCCCCTCCCCAGCGTTCCCCCGCGACTGGAACCCCTGCCCAGTCCTTCCCCGCCCCGACCATTTTATCCAGCCTCGCGTCGCACCTCCCCTCCCCGCCGCCGCCACCCCCTCCCCTGCGTTCCCCAGCAGCCTAGTGCCCCCTCCGCCCCGAAGACTTCATCCCGCGTCGCGCCGCACCCCTCCTCCCTAGCGTTCCCCCGCGGCCCAGTAGAACCCCGCACACTACCCCCTCCACCCCGACCATTTTACTCCGCATCGCGTCGCACCCGCTCCCATCCCCAGTCGCGTCGCCCCCGCCCCCCCCCCAAAGCGTTCCTCTCTCGTCGCCCTCCGCCCCGAGGGTTCATTTTGCGTCGCGCCGCCCCCTTTTCCCCAGCGTTCCCCCGCGCCCCAATGGAACCCCCGCCCAGTGCCCCCTCCGCCCGACCACTTTATCCCCTGTCGCGTCGCACCCTCCCCTCCCTGCCCCCGCTCCCCCCACCCCCTCCCTGGCACTCCTTAGCGCCCCCGCGCCCCGTCCGCCGCGGTCTTTTTATTCCGTGTCGCGCTGCCCCACAGCATCCCCCTCCACCGCAGTGGAACCCTTGCCCAGTGCCCCTCCGCCCCGATCATTTTATTCTGAGCCGCGTCGCGCTCCCCGTCCCCGCCCCCGCCCCTTTGTCCCCAGCTCTAGCGCTGTCACCAGCGGCCCCCTTGTCTTCACCGCCCCTCTGCCCCCATTAGCCGATTGCCCCTCTGTCCCCAGCTCTGTCCCCAGCGGCCTTCTTTGTCTTCACCATTCCTCTGTCCCCAGCAGCCGAGTGCCCCCTCCGCCCCGACCGCTTTATTTCGCGTCGCCCTCCCACAGTCCTCAGTTTTGTCCCGGCGCTGCACGGCACCAGTCCCCCTTCCGCAGCCCATATACGCTCTCCGCATCCCTCCCCCGCCAGCCAGCGCATCCCTCCGCCCCGACCGCGTTTTTACGGCACGGCACGGCACCGGCCCCCATTCCGTTCCCACCATTCTATTATCTTGCACAGTTGTTTTCTAGCGCTCGGACCTCTGTATTCTCGTCGTCATCGTTCGTTCGTTCGTCGTTCGTCCTCCCCCCTGGCCGTCCTGGCCTTGCCCTGGACCCAGCCCTCCCCAGCTCCCCTCGCTCTCCCCCCCTGGCCTCCTCAACCCACTCCCTGGACCCAGCCCGCCTCGTTCTCCCCCCTCTGGCCTCCCGTTCGTAGTCCTCTCCCCCCCCCCGGCCTCCTTATTTTCGTCGTCGTCGCTCGTTAGTTCGTCGTTCGTCGTCGTCGTTCCTTCGTTCGTCGTTCGTCCTCCTCCCTGGCTTCCGTGGCCTGGCCCTGGACCCAGCCCTCCCCCTGCCTCTGCCCTGGACCCAGTCCCCCTCGCCCTCCCCCCCGTGGCTTCCCTGGCCTCCCTGGTCCTCTGGCCTGGCCCTGGACCCAGCCCTCCCCCTCTGCCCTTGCCCTGGACCCAGTCCCCCTCGCTCTCCCCCCCACTGGCTTCCCTGGCCCACTCGTTCGTCCTCTCCCCTGGCCCCCCTGGACTTGCCCGCTGCGTTCTAGAGCTCGGACATGTTAATTTTCTTGCACAGCTGTGTTCTGGAGCTCGGACCTCTTTCTTTTCGTTCGTCGTTCGTTCGTCATTCGCCGTTCGTCCCCCCCCCAGCCACGGAAGGAAACTCTTGGAGGAAGGAGGCGAAAGCCTCATGTCCCTCGCAGATCCCTGGTGCAAGAGCCAGGGCACGCGCGCCCTTTGTAGTCATGATGGCCCCGTGGCCAGTCGAGGGCCCCCGAAGGCCGAAAATGGCAGTCGACATTTTTTGTGCGATGGCTCGAGGAGCTCCGAATCCTCCTCACTCTCTCGCACCCCTGAGACCCGACGTTACGAACATCGAAAACGAAAAAACGCAACAAAAGTAAACTGTTGGCGCTCCGCGCGGATTTCTTGGGTCCGCGTTGGGACCCCCGGCGACGCCTCCGGCGCCGAACCATGGCGCGCTCCGCGCGCCAGGGAGGGGGTCCAGCGCAGATCCAAGAAATCCGCGCGGAACGCCAAGAGCTGATGTTTATGGCCTGGCGAAGGACCGAACCATATGCAGTTGTGAGAGCCGCAGTGGCGAATACTGGGGCCACGAAACCTTTGAGGGGTGTGCCGAAATCGGTGTGGCGGACGCATGCGGGCCCCTCAACTGGGGCCTGCGGTGGAGCTCCTAATGGAGCCACGACACGTGTGAGGGCTGGGCCGAAATCTCTGTGGCGGACGCATGCGGGCGGTGGCACTGGGGCTATCGGTGGAGCTCCCTCTGGGGCCACGAACGTGTGAGGGCTGGGCCGAAATCTCTGTGGCGGACGCATGCGGGCGGTGGCACTGGGGCTATCGGTGGAGCTCCCTCTGGGGCCACGAACGTGTGAGAATTGTGCCGAACTGGGAGGCGCGGGACGCATGTGGGCGGTGGCAGTGGGGCCTGCGGTGGAGCTCCCTATGGTGCCACGAAAGATGTGAAGGGTGTGCCGAAATCGGTGTGGCGGACGCATGCGGGCAGTGGCACTGGGGCCTGCGGTGGAGCTCCCTCTGGGGCCACGAAACTGGTGAGGAGTGTGGCGGTGTTTGGCGGACGCATGCGGGCGGTGGCACTAGGGCCTTCGGTGGAGCTCTACGGGCCACGATACGTGTGAGGGGTGTGCCGACATGTCTTGGGCGGACGCATACGGGCGGTGGCACTGGAGCCTTCGGTGGAGCTCCCTACGAGCCACGAAACGTGTGAGGGGTGTGCCGAAATGTGTGTGGCAGACGCATGCGGGCGGTGGCGCGTGGGCCGTAGGTGGAGCTCCCTATGGGGCCATGCAACGTGTGAGGGGTGTGCCTCCATGGGTGTGGCGGCCGCATGCGGGCGATGGCACTTGGGGCTTCGGTGGAGCTCCCTACGGGCCACGAAACGTGTGAGTGTGCCGAAAATGGTGATGATGACGGTGATTATGATGACGATGATGGTGACGACGACGACAACGACGACGAAGACGAAGACGACGACGCTGCTGCTGCTGCTGCTGCTGCTACTGTTGCTGCTGCCGATGATGATGATGTTGATGACGATAATGATGCTGATGATGCTGATGATGATGGTGGTGATGATGATGATGTTGTTGATGATGATGATGATGATGATGATGATGATGATGATGATGATGATGATGATGATGATGACGATGACGATGATGATGATGATGATGATGATGATGATGATGATGATGATGATGATGATGATGATGATGATGATGATGATGATGATGATGATGATGATGATGATGATGATGATGATGATGATGATGATGATGATGGGAAGAGGGAGGAGGGGGAGGAGGAGAGGAGGTGGCAGACGCGGGACGCTGTCTCTTCAAAACGAGGACCCAACACCACAGGATGGTTTGGAATACAAGACAGTGTAAATCACGACCGGAATCCGAACCTATCTTTCTGGGGCGTTTCCCGAGCCGGATCGATACGTGAGGATCCCGGGGCCCGAAAACGGGCGAAACCGCCAGATGTGAAAAAATGCAAGCCCGGATCCCAGGGAAAAAGAAACACTCCCCGCTACCAGTCGCTCCTCTCGCCCCCCTCCTGCCCCGACCCGCCCAGCCGGTTTTCGAGCCATGGGACGGGGGGAAGGCTTCTTAGAAGGAGGCTGCTCCTTTTGGAAGGCGCGGTCCTCCTCTATAAATGTAATGCCGGCACCTTCTAAGAAGCAGCCTCCTCCTCCATCTAAAAAGCTTCCCCCACTCCCCCCTGTAGGCCATGGCATGGTTCAAGGATGTCGAGATCGATGATCACTGTTCCGCAATGGGGTTTGGGATCGAAAGTGCGCGACCACAAACTAAATCCTTGCCAGTGTTCTTCGGCGAAAGGTTCCGAAACTTCGTATTCGACGCTGTCCGGTCTTCTTCGTTGTCGGCCCCTGCGCCCGCCGCCGAGAGGAGCCGGCCGCTGCCCTGCTGGCGGGCGCGCGCCCGGGCCTGCTGGAGGGCCGCCGCGCGGAGAAGTTCTTCCCGGCCCTCCAGCAGTGGCGCCGCCGCCTCCGGGGGGGGGCGGGGGCGCCCCGACCGCACGCCAGAGTGGCCCTTCTCGGGATCGAGAGAAGGGCGTACACGTGCATGAGTCCACGCTGGTTTCGAGGGTACGCATTGCGCGGATGTTCGTATCACGCGGCGGGTCTCGCGGATCGAGGGGCCGTGTTCATGTACATAGTTGGGCGCGCACGTCCTTCGTAGGCTCCCTACCTTCGCGAGAGGGAGCTTCCCTGAGATCCGTCGCTGCGTTCGGTCGAGCCTGTCTTTCTGCAGGAGGAGCATCCAAAAACAGTCCAAACAAAATTTGCCTGAGGGCGACGGTTCGAGCATGTTTTGATTATGTTTAATTCTTGTTGGGGTTGGAGGAGGAGGAGGAGGAGGAGGAGGAGGAGGAGGAGGAGGAGGAGGAGGGGGGAGAGGAGGAGGAGGAGGAGCAGGAGGAAGAGGAGGAGGAGAAGGAGGAGGAGGAGGAGGAGGGCCTGCGAAGTCCAGCGCTTTCGGGCGGGCATCTCCCCTTTTTGATGGTTGCTGCAGTCGAGCCACTCCGTGGCTTCTGACCGCGTCTGTGTAGGCTGCCCACCTTTGGGGCGGGGCTGGGACGAGGATAAGTCCTTCCCAGAGCGTTCTGGGGACGCTCTGGGAAGGCCGCGGCGCCTGAGACATCCTCCAGATCCGCCAGATCTTAGAGATTCCCCATTTGTTCTTACTAGGTATTATCCTTAGGTCGGGCGTGTCTTCCTGCAGGCGGACTTCGGAAGGTGAATCAAACCAGACATTAGCAAGAACAATGATCAACAGCAGTCGAACGAGCACGACCAATTAAAGGGACATGCCCGATTGAAGGGACGGGCCCGATAACTTAACCTGGATGATCGCTGGACGCCCACAAACAATCTCAAAAGCTCAGACCGTCGAAGTCCTCCTCCTCCTCCTCCCCCATCCTCCTCCTCCTCCTCCTCCTCCTCCTCCTCCTCCTCCTTCTCCTCCTCCTCCTCGTCCTCCTCCTCCTCCTCCCCCTCCTCCCCCTCCTCCTTCTCCTCCTCCTCCTGTACCCTCGTCCTGGCTTCCTTTTTTGTAGGGGAGGGGGCGGCTGGGCCCAGGCCAGAGGAAGAGGCCGCCGCACGCGCCGGAGCTCTCTCGGAGTTCTGGCGCGGCGTCCTCGGAGTGGCGCTGGGCCCCCCCTCGCCCTGGCCCGCGGAGCTGGGACTCCCCTGCTCCGCCTCCTCCTCCTCCTCCTCCGCCTTCTCCTCCGCCTCCGCCTCCGCCTCCTCCTCTTCCGCCTCCTCCTCCTCCGCCTCCGCCTCCTCCTCCGCCTCCGCCTCCGCCTCCGCCTCCTCCTCCTCCGCCTCCTCCTTCTCCGCCTCCTCCTCCTCCGCCTCCTCCTCCTCCGCCTCCGCCTCCTCCTCCGAGGAGGAGGAGGAGGAAGAGCGGAGGAAGAGCGGAGGAGGGGCAGGGGGAGGCAGAGCGAAGGAGAGGAGAGATAGGGAGGGAGAGGCAGAAAGGGACAGACTTGGGAGCAGGAGGAGGGGGAGGAGGGAGGGGGAGGAGGACGGCCACTGATGCAGCCGAGCGCGGCCAGGGGCAGGATCGGATCCGGCTCGGGCACCAAGCAGATCGTGCTTCTATATACCCGAAGAAGAGGAGGAGCAGGAGGAGGAGGAGGAGGAGGAGGAGAAGGAGGAGCAGGAGGAGGAGGCGAAGGAAGAGGAGGAGGAGGAGGAGGAGGACGCGGAGGAGGAGGAGGTGGCAGAGGAGGATGACGAGGAGAAGAAAGAAAGAGGAGGAGGAGGAGGAGGAGCAGCAGGAGGAGGAGGAGGAGGAACAGCAGCAGCAGGAGGAGGAGCAGGAGGACAGGCAGGCACCTGGTGCAGCAGACAGCAGCCAGAGCAGGACCGGATTCGGCTCGGGCACCAAGCAGAGCGCGCTACATAGATGTAATTTCTGTGAAAGGGGGCGTGCCAAAAAGGGTCTTGCCTTCGAGGGCCGAAGGAGTTGTCATCTCTCCCGCGGCGGAAGGGCGGACGGCGGAAGTACAGCGAGGCCGCCCCTGCCGGCGGAAACCAGCGGAAGCTCGGCGGGGGGCGGCGCAAGGAGAAGATATGCCTCCAAGAGATGAAAACATGTTTGGGTTCAGGGTTTACGAATTCGCCCCTATAAATTGAGAGGGAGAGAGAGAGAGAGAGAGAAAGAGAGAGAGAGAAGGAAATAAAAGGAAAAAACAAAGGAAAGAGAGAAAGAGAAACAATGAAAGAGAGAGAGAGAGAGGGAGACTCGGAGAGAGACACTGCCGCCCCCAAGCTCAGCCGCTCTGCAGCTACCACTGGGACAGCTTCGGGGCCTCTCTCGGGCCAGCCCTCGGCCGTTTTGTCGGGAGCACCTCTTGGGGGGGCTCCGGGGCCACCCTCGGGCCGCCTCGGGCCATTCGGGGGGTGCCTCGGTGGCCCGTCCTGGGGGGCGCTGCCTCAGAGGAGAAAAAAGGTACCCATATACCGCTGCCCCTCCCTCGTCCTCCCCTTTCCTGAGCCTCCTGGGAGGCCCTCGCCGCCGCTGGGTTCTCCTCGAGATCCTGGTCGGAGCGCGCCCCAGCAGTGGTCTGGGGAGCCGCGGCGTCGGCAGCTCCTGGCTGCCCCCATCTCCGGGGCAGAGGCCGCCGGGGGCCATGCCCGGCGCGGGCGCCGCCTCCGGCGAGATCCTCGGCCTCCCGCCGAGAGGGCCGCCCCGAGCGACCGCCGCGCGCGGCCCAGGCGCTGCCAGCCGCGCTGCGGCGGGCCGCCCGCGCGCGCGTGGGCGGCGGAGGCGGGTGCCGCCCTGCCGCCGGTCGCGAGGCGCGGCGGGGTGGGGGCCGCCCGGCCTGCGGCGAGACGCAAGCTTCGGTCGGGCGTGTTCCCCGACAGGCGGATGTTGGACGAGAGATCCACAGTTGTAAAAGAGAATGTCGCAATGGTCAAAACTAGCGGGAAAAGCGTTCCCTTTTTGTATTTTTTGACTATCCTTGAATACTTCTCCTGTAGAGGGACAGGCCCGACTCAAACGTAAGCCAGGGCCCAGAAGCATCTGGGCCCAGGGCGTGCAGGGACAGCTATACAGACTCGCGCGCGCCTCGGGGGCCGAAAAAACCAGAGTCACCCTGGACCACAGGTATCCCGGATAGCTCGGGCGTCCACCCCCCCCCGAAGCACCAGGGCAGGGGGCAGTCAGGGGTATTTACAGATTCTCGCTCCGTGGGCCCAAAGCGGAGTTACTTTCCAGCCTCGAACGTATCCCTATCCCTAAGTAAGGTTGGCACGCCAACAGGCGATGACAATCTCAGGGATTCGCCCTCACAAAATGAGGGAATCCCTGGGATTGGCATCGTGATCAGGAGGTGCCCAGCATAGGGATAGGGATATGTTCCAGGCTGGTAAGTTACCCCAGACGGCGTGATCCTGGAGAAGTCGGGCGTCCATGGAAGAGTGGCCCTTCGCCGATGGCCGCATGCGATGCGGCAGCAGCGGCGTGCGCACTCCGCTTTGCTACCCCCCCCCCGCCCGCGCCCCCCTGAAGCCGCGTACAGTCGGGGCCCTGAAGAAGGAACGCTTTTCGTTGGGGAGGGGCTCGGTGTTCCCTGATTGTTTCACAGTTTGCCTCGGGTTTCCCTTAGGCATTTGCATGGGAGATCGAAGTTTAACCTATGGAAAAGTGGGGCCTCGTTCCTTAGTTAGGTTTCCTTAGGTCAACGCCCCGGCTGTACCAAGGGTCACTCTTGCCTAAGGTCACTCTTGCGTGTAGCCGACTCCTCATTTCAGGAGCGAAAACAAGCGCCATAGTGGTTTCGAAAGTACACACTGCGCGAACGTTCGTATCACAAGGCGGGTCTCGCGGATTGGAGGGCCGTATTCATGTACGTGGTTGGATGCGTACGTCATTCGTGGGCTCCTTACTATCCTCCTCCTCCTCCGCTTTCTCCTCCTGGTCCAGCGCAGGTCCGAGAAACCCGAGCGGACCGTCGAACGTTTGCGCATGTTTATGCCGATTGTCCTTCCTCTGTGGGAGGGGGGGCGGGAGGATCCTCCTCCGCTTCCTCCTCCTGGTCCAGCGCAGATCCAAGCAGCCCAAGCGGACCGTCGAATGATTACATCTTGTGCATGCCGATTGTTCGTCCTATGTGGGAGGGGGGCGGGACTCCTCCTCCTCCTCCTCCTCCTCCTCCTCCTCCTCCTCCTCCTCCTCCTCCTCCTCCTCCTCCTCCTCCAAGTACTAGGATCTGCTGCACGTGGGAGTGGCCCTTCGCCAGAGCCACTGGTCTTGGTGCGGGGCACCGAGGGGGGGGGGCCCAAGACAGCACCTGCAGCCTGCGCGCTCGGAGGAGGAGGCGGAGGAGGAGAAGCAGGAGCAGGAAGCAGGAGGAGCAGGAGCAGGAGCAGGAGCAGGAGCAGGAGCAGGAGCAGGAGCAGGAGCAGGAGCAGGAGCAGGAGCAGGAGCAGGAGCAGGAGCAGGAGCAGGAGCAGGAGAATGAGGAGGAGAGAGGAATGAGGTCCAGGGTCACTCCTGCGTGGTTCCGAGAGGAGGAGAGGAAGGAGGAGGAGGAGGAGGAGGAGGAGGAGGAGGAGGAGGAGGAGGAGCAGGAGGAGGAGCAGGAGAATGAGGAGGAGCAGGAGCAGGAGCAGGAGCAGGAGCAGGAGAATGAGGAGGAGGAGGAGGACCAGTAGAAACCCAAGAGGCATGCACGATGTTGGGATACATCCTCCGTCCAAGCTCCCTCTTCGTAGGCCCCCACACGGGTTCACTTCTGTTGAGGGAAGTGCCCCGTTGGGAGACAGCCATATGAAGATGCTGAAGCGTGCCAAGACACCATTCCAGGGACTTCAACGCCAGTAATTAACATGATTGCTGCGTCTTGACGATCATGAATTGTACCATATCCCAGATCTCAGGATTCCAACAGTGCGAATCAACGTAACTGTTGCGCCCTGCGAATTCTGAATTGCTCCAAATCGCCATTTCTGACACGTGAACCATGGGACTTCGTGAACGTCTTGCGACTAGTTAGATGTGCGCGCGGTGCTAAGGCGGAGAACTACATTGTGAAAGGAACCGCCCTCAACCTGTGAAGCTCTTGCAATGTTGTTTGACGACTGTGCGCGGTTTTCGGGCGAAAGCCACAGTTTGAAAACCAACCGCCCTCAATCCGTGACACCTAAACTTGTTTAGGACTAGTGTGCGCAGCGCTGAGGCGAAGGCCACATGTTGAAACCCTCCCGCCTTCAACCCGTGAAAGTATTGCAAGTGTTTACGACGAGTGCGCGCGGCGCCAGGGGCAAGAACCGCAGTTTGGAAGCGACTCGCCCTCCATCTGTGAGGTTGATACCAACGCTTGAGTTTCAGGATGATAGGTGGCAAGGAAGTCTCAGTCGAAACGCCCAGCCCGCCCTTCCGATTGGCCTCGGGGCGCGACAGGGAGGAGTTGCTAATGAGGAAAAGGAATGGAGGAGGAGGAGGAGGAGGAGGAGGAGGAGGAGGGGAGGAGTTGGAGGAGGAGGAGGAGGAGGAGGAGGAGGAGAAGGAGGAGGGGGAGGGGGAGGGAAGGGGGTCAGGGAGGGGGAGAAGGAGTAGGAGGGGGCCTACAGCCACAGGCGTCCAAGAGGGGGGGTGATGTCTAGGGGAGTGGATATCATGGCGGGGGCCATGACATCTCCCTTGGATGTCATGGTTCCATCTTCATCCTTCATCACGTCCCCTGGTCCCACCTTGTCCGCGCACATGTCTCATCCTCGACGTCCCCCCCTTCTCCATCTCGCGTCCCCCGCTCCTCATTCCGCACCCAGGCACCGCCGATACCCCACTCCCTCCTTCTCCCACCCCGCCCCGTCTCCGCTTCTGCCTCCGCCCCCATCCACCTTCCCCGCCCCTCGCCGCCAATACCCTGCTGAGACGAAGGCGCCGAACCGAACCCAGGTCACCGAACTTCGCGCATCGCGCCCCGCGATGCGCGACCCGCGGTCAGCTTCGCACCCCAGCGAGGCCGCCGTGGAGCCGAGCAGCTCTCCCGCCCGGGCCGCGACGCGCGAAGCGCGACCACCTTCGCGCCCAGTGGCGGTGGCCCAGGCAGCGGCTGCAGGACACGGCAAACGTCGGCTACGCACGGCCTCGTGGGCCTCCGAGACCGGCAGGTCTGCAGGACGCGCCCAGCGCGGCAGCCGCTCCAGGGCGCTCCAGGGCGCCCTGGAGTGGCCGTGGAACGCCCCACGGCAGCACCCCGACCCGCCTGGCATCCCCCTCCCTCTGCCGTGCTCTCCTGCGCCCTGCTGCGCCGTGCTCTGCGATGCATCGCGCACCCTCTCGCGATCATCGCCCTGCTCGACAGCCGACTCTGCGAAGAGAGAGGAGATCTACGCCCTGGTATTGGATGGGAGGGAGGGGTAGGACGTCAGATATGACGCGGGTGCACCTAGCTTGCCCTTCCCCCTCTCACTCCCATCCCCCTACGACGAAGGCAGGACCAGGATAGAAATTCGGCTCAGAAGGACTCGGGCATCTCTCTGAGAACTGGCGGGCCTGGAGGATGCATCGGGCACCGCGGCCGTTCCAAAGCCTTCTGGAGGAATGCTTGAGAGCTTTCCCCGGAACGCTCTGGAGAGATGCACAGTGGAGACCCATGCCAAGAAACACCTCTGCTTGCCTCCAGGGTGCCCTAGGCTTCTTGGGTGTCGATGGCTTTTGCAATGCAAAGCGTGGCGCTCCCACGCCAAAACTCAAGGAACGTCCTTGAGTGTAAGGGTTGGGGGCTTCTTGTGGGAGGCTCCTTGTGGTCGGGCCCCTACTGGATCATCATCCCAAAAGCTTGCTTTTTTATTGCTTGGGGCATGGTGGGCATTAGAGCCCCCGGCCCCCCACCCACCCTATAACGTAACGCCCCTCCCCCCCCAGTGCGCTCCGGGCACTGCCGCCGTGCGCATCGTGCACACGGCGGGGGGGAGGCGATACATTATAACCTCCCCCTATAATGCCCATTGCCCATCATCGCCGAAAATAAAATATCGCGCTTCAGGCCTGACTGACACCGGCTCCCCACTCCCCTCGCGCCGCGTAGCACCCGCGCTGTCGCTGCGCCTGGCCAGGGAGGGGCCAGCGCTCGCAGAGGTCGCGCCCCGGGAGGCCCCCCGGCCAGCGGGGCCCTGGGGCATTACGCCAGCAGGTGCTCGAGGGGTGCTCTGCGCGCCAGCGTCTAGGGTTAAGTCGGGCGTGTCCCTCTGCAGGAGGAATATTCAAAAATGGTTTTAAAGATGGTCTGGGGACGATGTTCGTGCAATCTGATTGTATTGTTGGGTATGTGTTGGATTTTGTTTTATTTCTCGTCCAAAATCCGCGTGTAGGGGGACACGCCCGACCTAAGCCTAGGGCGCACGTCTGCGGGAGCCTCGCCTTGGGGCAGCCCCGGCACATTCTGCAGAAGTCTCCGAGGGCAGCTCGTGCCACGCACCGGGCCCCGTGACGTCCCCATGTTGACGTCCCCCGCCCCGCCCACCGAAGGTCGACGGGCCTCCTGTCTTCCGCAAAGGAAGGCGTCTCGGCGATGGGCGGCGGCCAGTTGTCGTTGAGCTTGCCCAGCTGTTCGCAGAGCCACGCGCGCTCCGCCTCGCGAATCCTCGGCAACACCGCCGCACGGGCCCCACGAGCGGACCGCCTGCCGCGGGCCCTCGGCCCAGCCTCCGCTGCGGCGGCCCGCCAGCGCCACCGCCGCAGCATCCTGCAACGGGTCCTCTTCCAGGGCGTCGTCGCAGTCATCGCCGCGCCCCTACCTGTTGCATCCCACCTGCGGGGCATGCGATGCCACCGGATCCACGGGGAGGACGGCAAGAAGGCGCGCGCGTGCGCCAGGCAATCCCGAAGCCCCGCACGGCGTCAAAATCATTTGGGCGTGCAAGTCGGGTGACGACGCCACCGCCTCGGGGATGGTTCCAGATCGGTGCTTCGCCACTCCCTCCAACTGGGTTGCACAGCACATGGAGCGGAGGAGGGTGGGGAGGAGAGGCCCGCGGCCACCTGTGATGACAAAGTCAGAGGTGTCCCTCTCGTCGGCACGAACGGAATGGGTACGGAAAGAAGATGGACAATGCCCAACAGCAGTTCCTGTTCATGTTGAACAGGACTCGCTGTCCGCGCCGCCGCGGAGAACGCTCTGAGAGCGCTCCGGAACGCTCTGGAGCGATTTATCCCGATCCTAGCCCTGTTTTACAACCCGAAATTCGGGTCTTCGGGTTGGGTTGGGGTGGTCTGGTAGGTAGTCAGCTCCTTCTTCCTCTCCTCACCCCTGGGCGGCTGGAAAGTATATACCCTTACGGTGCCGCCGTAAGGGTATAAACTTTCCAGCCGCGCTGGGGCAGGTGTCCCCGACGGCGAAAAAGATTATTTTATACCGTTCTTCGCCCGTCAAGGCATCCAGGCTTCATCCCCCTCCCGCCTCGATCTTGCTCGCTCCTTCCTCTTCTCGCCTCCTGCTCCTCTCTTCTCGCGCCTCCCGCTGTCTGCCTGGCGTGCCCCCCGTGCGCCGCCGATCCCGCCACCCCCTGGGAGGCTGCTGCCCGCGGAACTGTTCAGGAGGGAAAAAAACACACAGACACAATGAATCGTCGATCCCCAAGAAAATATGGGGAGATGTGGGAATTGGGCGGGAAGACAGAAAGCCAGAAAATATGCGAAAATAGGGGAATAGTTTCATTCGTGTGTATTTATTTGTATGTCCTTGGGCCCCTTGAACTGTCCCCACCTTCGAGGGCTGCTAGGGGGGGGGGGGGCCCGCGGAGCGTCGTCGCACGAGGACCCAGGCTGGACCTCGGCATCCCTATGGGGGGGGGGCTGCGAACTGCGGAGCCGGCGGTCGCAAGGTTCGGAAGTTGCTGGGAGGGCCCGCGGAGCGTCGTCGTACGGGGACCCAGACTGACCCAGACTAGACCTCGGCATCCCCAGGGGGGGGGGGGGGGGGGGGCGAACTGCGGAACGGGCGGTCGCAATTTTCGAGGGCTGCTGGGGGAGCCAGCACAGCAGCTTCCCACGCGGACTCAGACTGGACCTCGGCATCCCTGGGTGGCTGCGAACTGTGAAACTGTCGCCACTTTCGGGGGCTGCTGGGGGGGGCAGCGGAGCGTCGTCGCTCGAGGACCCAGACTTGACATCGGCATCCCTAGGGGGGCTGCGAACTGCGAAATTGTCGCCCCGTTCGAAGAGTGTTAGGGGGTCCAGTTGATTCCCTACCTAGGCTCTGCCTAGAAGGGTTCTTACTCTCTTGGCTTAAAGGGCCAGGCAGTGGGAACCGGCCTGGGCGGTTCCCCCTGTATCCGCCCCGCGGTTCCCCCAGCTACGTCCCCTTAGCTTAGCGTTGCTTATCTCATCCTAGCATCGCTTATTTCATATTAGCTTAGCTTAGCTTCATCTTAGCTCAGGTTTATCTTAGCTTAGCTTACCTTCAGCTTAGCTTCGCTGAGCTTTAGCATAGCAGAGCACAGCATAGCATAGCGTAGCATAGCATAGCGCAGTATAGCATATCATAGCATAGCATAACATAGCATAGCATAGCATAGCGCAGCTTAGCATAGTGTAGCATAGCTTAGCATAGCACAGCGCAGCATGACATAGCATAGCTTATCATAGTATGACATATCATAGCATGGCGCAGCATAGCATAGCATAGCATATGATAGCACATACTGGCATAGCTCAGCGCAGCATAGCATGGCATATCATAGCATAGCATAGCATAGCAACGAATGCTGCTTTCCTAGGGGCTCCAACTTCTAGGTAGGGTCGCACTGGGGTAATTCACGTATCGGTGGAATCACAACGACTCGCCTTCGTTGCTTACCAGTGCATGCCATGTACCACGTTGCTTCCAGGTTCTCGCCCCTCTTCTACACTTCCCCTTGTGGCCCTGCACCCGTCCGGGTCACGTAACGCGCAGGCCTCCCCTCCCTCGGGTTCCTCGCCACGCCATCATCCGCAATGACGTGGCCCAGTGTTCGTGTCACTTCGTGCAAATGGGTTGGCTATGTCGCAGGGTAGTTCTAGACGCGTCGCGTAGCCCCAACAGCCCATCCAGAAACGATGCCCAGGCGAGTTGCCCTGATCAGGGATGTGGAGGAGGCCGTTGTACCCTAAGAGGGGGGGATGGAGGAGGAGTCGGCGGAGGAGGAGGGGAATGAGAGGGAAGGAGAAGAGGAAGGAGGGAGGAGGAGGAATAGGCGGCTGAGGACGAGGACGAGGAGGAGGAGCGCGAGCAGAAAGGCCAGACGTACGTTTCTTGGATGCCTCTAGGAGCCTCTTCGGATGTCCGTTGTGAGCTTTTCGGGGCCCTCTCTGGGCGTGTTGAGGGCCTCATGGCGGTCCTGGGGGCATCTTGGAGCGTCTTGGTTGCTCCGGGTGAGCCTCTTAAGGGTTTCGTGGGAGCCTCTTGGGGACCTTTGAAGGGCTTCTGGGGCCTCCTGGGCGCCTCTTGAGGCACTCTTGGGTGGGGGGGGCACTCTTGGGGGGCCTTGGAGGCCATCTTGAGGCCATCCAGGAGTAAATCAATCAAAGAAGGGAGCCTCCAAGTAGCACTGCCCCTCTAGGGTGACTAAGCTCGCCTCTTGGACCCCTTCTGGGGCGCTCTTGGAGCTGTCTTGGGGCTCTCTTGTGCATCTTTGGTGGCTCTCTTGAGCCATCTTGGAACCATCTTGAAACCATCAGAAGCGAAATGGTGAGAAGGAAACAGCTATTGATTTTCCATCGGTTTGTTGAAGGATGGTGGCCTCTTGATGGCTGCCGTGCGGGATTCCGTGGCCTCTCGGAGCCGTCTAGGAGCGGTCGTGGGATCTCTTGGAGTATGTTGCGAGCCATCTTGCGTTATCTGGAGCCATCTGAGAGGTCATCTTGGGTTCCCCAACCCTCTGACACCTCACGGCCCCTCCCCTTCCAGACCCAGGGGAGGGGGCATACGGAGGGGTCAAGACACCTCTCCCAGATGCTAACTGTTCGGCTCGGGCGCCAGGTGTGCCGCGTGCTCCAGCCGCGCCAGGTGCGCCTCCTCCTCCCCCTCCCCCCCTCCCTCCCTCCTCCCTCCTCTCTCCTCCCTCCTCCCTCGCTCCTCCCTCCTCCCTCCTCCCTTCTCCCTCCCTCCTCCTCCTCATCCTCCTCCTCCTCCTCCTACTCCTCCTCCTCCTCCCATTCGGGGCACGTGCAGGGTGCGCCAGGTGCGCCAGCGCACAACGTAAATATGCCGCCCCCCACCATCCTCGTCGAAAGCCCGTGCGCAATCGCGGCGGAGTGGCCATCATGATGTCTGGCGGGCCTGCACACGGCAGGCAATGTGCCAGCACGCGCGCAGTCCCTGTCAGAAACCAATTCAACGTGATCGCGGGGTCCCCGCGCATCATCCAGATTTAGCCGCGGTGTGCGGTTTGTTGTGTTTTCCCGCAGGGGTAGTGGCCCTGCACAGCAGGCCATATGCTGGCACCCCCGCCGTCCGTCGCAAAAAGCCATACAAAGTGCTCGCGGGCCCGCTGGACATGACCAAGATCTTGCCGCACAAAGCAGATTGTTTTGTTTGTGTTTTGCATGAATGGCGCGGGGGGGCACACTATCCCGTGTTTGAGGCCGGTCGGGTAGTGGAGGGGGCGTCTCCTAACAAGGAGCAGTGATGAACCCCACCTTCGAAGGCGAAGAAGTGGAAGATGAAAGAGGGAACGCTCTAAACTACTCACGCCCAGAGGGCTGGTGGGAGTTTGCACGCATACAGGCGCCGAGTTGTGTTTCCCAGTGTCTTTTGCCATTCGAGCGTTTTCGAGGCGTCCGAAAAGGCGCTCCCGCTGGAGCGCTGGCTCATTTTAAGATCGGTGCTTTGCTCCTGTCGTTCAGAATGCCCCAGCACGGGCAACATTCCAGGATCCGAGTCATTCCTCGTCTTGTCGCCCCCTTCATTGATTTCCCTTGCCGCGCCTTCCACTCGTCCTCCTGCTCCTCCGGCTCCTGGTTTGCTGCTGCAGTTCCTCCTCGTCCTCCTCTTTCCTCATTCTTCCCATCTTCCTCCTGCTCGTCCTCCTGTAAATCCGCCATCTCCTCCAATGTGCACACGCCCCCTTTTCAGACTGCGCGTAGCAAGATGGAGTCCTTTTTTTCCGTGTTCCAGGCCTGCTATGACACCAGTTGGCGGACAGAGAAGAATCGGCGCGATGGGAAGGGATGTGAGGTGGTACGGACGGGGCCCTGAAGAAGGAACCCTTTTCGTTGGGGAGGGGCTCCGCGTTCCTGAAGTGTTTCACTGCTTGCCTCAGGCTTTCCTGATGTTTTCGACCGGAAATCGAAGGGTTCACTTGTGGTAAAAAGGGGCCTCGTTCCTTATTTAGGGTTCCTTAGGCCAACGCCCCGACGGTGGGCTTTGAGATGTGGCGCGAGCGCACCCAGCGTGTCGTCCTCCCCTCTCCGCGCGGCACCGTGTTCATCAGATCTTAGCATTGTGACAGCTCGCTGTGTTCGCGCGCCTCGTCCACGTCTGCCCTCCGCTCCCACGAACGTCTGGCTCATGCCGTTCAGGACACCTGAGCTACGGGAAATGCGCCGTTGAGCTCGTGGGCCTTCGGAAGGCATGCCATCAAGAGTATCCCGTTGTCGCAGCATCCTCTCTGTAGCTCTTGCAGCCCTTCACGGTGTGGACGCCTCGTGCCTCTCGTACGACGACATCTTTGTGGCAGACGGTGCCCGGGTTGGCGGACCCTGCAAGGGCGAGGACCCTGCAAGTGCGCAGCCCAGTTTCTATGGCACGGCGGTGACACTTTGCCCGGGAGTCGAAACCATTCCGCCGTATGCTTTTCAAGCATGCAGTATGCTGGCAAGCGTGGAGCTGCCAGATTCTCTGACGGCCATCGGGGAATTTGCTTTCGAACAGACGGGGCTCGTCGATGTCACAGTCCCGGACGGTGTGACGAGCATAGGGATGTTTGCCTTCTTCAACGCTGCTGATCTAGTCAGTGTTGTGCTCCCGAGCTCGCTGACCACCATCGGGCTCTGGGCCTTTGTTGGCACTGGGCTGGTCGAAGTGACGATCCCGGGGTCGGTCACGAGCATTGGGAACGATGCCTTCGACATCGCCACCCTGACCACGGTGTACTTGCCTGGACACGACGCCGAGGAGGCGGCGGGATTCGCGGCCGCTTTCGGCGACGCTGACCCTACGATCCAGGTGGCCACTGGCACGGAGACCAGCACCTCGGTGACCACCGTGCCTCCTCCTCCTCCTGCTCCTCCTCCTCCTCCTGCTCCTTCTCCTCCTCCTCCTCCTCCTCCTCCTCCTCCTCCTCCTCCTCCTCCTCCTCCTGTAACCTCGGTGGCCAGCGTGCCATCTTTGTCGTCGACCAGCACCTCGCCGGGGCACACCACCACGGGGACCAGCAGGAGGCGGAGGAGCACTTCACTGGAACCAGGCCGCCAGGGAGGCAGGGGAGGGGAGGAGAGGAGCAGCAGAGAGAGAGGCAGGAAGAGAAGGAGGGATGAAGCGGGAGGGAGGGGGAGGGAGGGAGGGAGGGAGGAATGAGTCTGATGGCGAGAGCCCCTTGAAGACGTTCACGCTGGTGATGAGAGAGAGGGGCTCGGAGGACTTGAACACAACCGCTGTTACGATAACGGGGATGGTCGGACGAGCCTAGAATCGAGATAAATCCGTTCCAGAGCGTTCCAGAACGCTCTTAGAGCGTTCCGGAACTCTCCGAAACGGCCGCGGCGCCCGAGGCATCTTCTAAACCCACCGGCTCTCAGAGGTTCCCCATTGATGTTGGCCCGATGTCGTCACGATTCTGCCTTCGTCTTAGATGAGGACATGGTTTGTCCACTCCACGACAGCCGCGCGCTCCGCTCTGCGCGGCCTGCCTGACGCCGGCAGGCTGGCAGAGGGAGTGTCCGCCCACCCACGCCTCGAGCCGGGGATGGGCGGCGTGCACGGCAGGCGGCAGCAGCACGAGACGCCAGCGTCGATCAGGCTGCATTCCTTCAGGGGTGGGGGGGGGGATGGGGAGGACTGACTAGTAGGAGGGGAGGAGGAAGCAGGAGGAGAGAGGAGGAGGAGCGAGCAAGAGGGAAGGGAGTGAGCGTGGAGGAGGAGGAGGAGGAGGAGGTGAAGGAGGAGAAGGAGACGAAGAAGAATCAGAAGGTGGAGGAGAGAAGTAGGAGAAGGTGAAGGAGAAGAAGAAGGAGAAGGAGGAGGAAGAGAAGAAGCAGGAGAAGCAGGAGGAGGAGGTATGGAGGGAGGGAGGGAGGGAGGGAGGGAGGGAGGGAGGGAGGGAGGCGCTGCTGGGGCATGCCAGCCCATCCTCGGAGCAAGCCCAGAACCAGTCGGAGGGCGAGGGGATGCAGCACCACGTGAAGCTGTTACAGGAGGAACGGAGGACGAGGCTGAGGCGGAGGAGGAGGCGGACGCCGAGGCTAGCGGCAGCACCGATCCGGCGGCTGCAGTGCCCCAGGCGCACGCAGTGCTGCCACCGCCCAGTGTGGCAGGTCAATGCCTCCTGCGCCGCACTCGCTTGAGCGCGCCAGTTGAGTGCCGCAGGTGCTCCAACCTGCAGCCCGAGTCCACCAACATCTGGGCCTGCGTGCATTGCAGGGTGTATTGTTGCGCCCAGTGCAGGCCCGGCAGGCGGGCCACATGGTCCCTCGTGTGCTCGGCGCCTGCCAGCGTCAGCGACGCAGCGCTCCCGAGGAGGCTCGCGCACCCGCAGGCTGCCCGCGCTTCTGCAGCGCAGCCAGCTCCGCCTCCCCAGGCGGCCGGGGACGCCGAGGCTGCGGCAGCACCGCCGCGCCGCGATGGCGAGCGAGGCGGAGGAGGAGGAGGAGGAGGAGGAGGAGGAGGTGGAGAAGGCGCTGGAGGCGGCGAAGGAGGGCTGCAGTCTATCCGCGAGCTCCTGGAGCGCGAGCCGATGCTGCCGACCTTGCTGGACCCGCCTCGTGACGCACTTGCGAGGGCAACGGAGGTCTGGCGATTGAGCTTAGCGGAGCTCCACAGGGTCCACACGCGAAGCGATGCCACACCTGCAGCGCGAAGGGAGGCTTACCTGTGGGCCTACTCTGTTCCTGGACTCCTCCGTCGCCTCCCGCGTCAAGAGTCGGACGAGCAGCAGCGCGGCCACGTCCCGCTCACGACGACACTCGGCCACCGGCTGAAGCGAGCCGAGGGTTCGGGTCGGGCGAAAGGGGGGGATTGGGAAAGGGGGGGTTACGAAATCTGCTGCATGCAGCTGGTTTCGGCCCCACCGAGGGGCCCGTTCCTCGATGACATAGCCGCCTCGCGGCGCCGGGAGGCGCCGGGAAAATCAGCTACGTGAGCTGATTCTCAAACCCCCCCTTTGCTATCCCCCCCTTTCGCCCGACCCGAAGGGTGCGGAGGAGTGCCTGTTTCGCGAGCTCCTGCTTGAGTACCTTGCAGACAGGGCGGAGGAACACAGGCGTGCCGCCAGGCAGGAGGCCGGCGCGCAGGCTGCCACACTCGACGGTTGGAGCCGCGCGGTCAAGTCAGTCCAGGGAGATTGCGTCGCCCGTGCTCGCCGCGAGGCCACCGGGCAACGCTGGGCGCCACGCGACGATGCCACCAGCAGCTGTGTGCAGCTGTGTGGCCCACGCACTGTCAGGAAGTGGCTCAATGGTGTAGTGCAGCAGCGGTTATGGAAAGACGTGGCCTCCAGAGAGGGTTTCCCTGAGCTCTCTCCCGGGTGCAACCTCCAGCCTCTGCACAGCCTGTTAGCCTCAAAAGCCTTGCGAACCGACGAGAAGGTTCATCTTAGAAGTGTTGTGCGCGGAGGGCAGTGGCCTCGGCATAGACAGTGCATGGCACAGTACACAGACGAGCCTCACTGTCAGTTGAGTCACGAGGCTCCTGGCAAGGCTCCTGGCACGCTGCTTCACAGGCATGCGCGCTGCGGGGGCCACCATGACATCGCTGCTGGTGAAGCCGCGCCCGTGTCTCAAGATTCCGCGGTTAGAGCGAGCGTTGACCCCCTCCCTCTCCTTTTCGCCGAGAGGCTACTCGCCCCTGATGCTCCCCTTCCTCCTGCCACCTTCCTGCCCGACAGGCGGCTTGGTGGAGGCCCCACCGAGATGTCGGGACGCGTCTTTCTAGACGGCAGCTGGATGGACCAGCGCCTGCCGTCCCACGCGCAAGCTGTCGGATGGGCCATAGTCAGTGCGCAGCCCGAGTACCCGCATCGTGTCAACTCCGTTTTGTGCGGCAAGGTGTCGCGCGTCTAGCAGGACATTGATAATGCTGAAGTGCCTGCCTTCTATCGAGCTCTGCAGCGCAGCATTCTAGGCAGCACGTTTTACACTGACTCTGCGTTTGCGCACGACGGAGTCCGTTTGCGCGGTCAGGCGTGCTGTTGCTCCTCGCGCGCCGCCTGGTCTGAGTTGTGGGTCCAGGTCTGTCATCGCATCGCAGACTGGGGCGGAGTGGATAACAGTGTGATCCGCAAAGTGAGGGGACATTGTACAGAAGCCCGCATCCAGTCTGGTCTTTCTTCGCGTTTTGAAAAGGAGGCAATGCACACGCGGACGATTGGGCCCAGTGGATGGCCTCGAGGGCCCGCGTTCCTTCTGGGTTCCGAGAGGCCCACAGGGCCAAGGCCCTGGTTCTTTCTCTGTGGGCTCGCTGGGTTGCCCGCATAGGCCCGCGCATGTGTGACCTTGATTGTGAGCATGTCTTACAGAAGCAGCGCGTTGCTCGTGGCAGTGGGAGTGCGCATCGTTCCGTGCCTGGCCTGGCTGGTGAGCCACCGTTGCCCGTCGCACCGCGCAGTCTCTCCCTCGAGCCGACCTGGCCTCTGTTCGCGCGCAGCTCGCCGATGAAAGAGCGCACGTGATGCATCCCTTCGCCGTTGTAGGGGGCGGGGGGCGGAGGCTGTGGTGTACTGTGTGTGTGGCGTGTGGGCTGGGAGGGGTCAAGATCTCTGCAAACCGGTCGGTTGGCTGCCGACGTCCTCCTGCACCTGGCACCTGGGGTGCCCGTGTGCTTTGCTGGCCTTGCCCGCTCACCAGCCAGGTTCCAGGTCAAACGTGTCTGGCGGTACCTGGTCGAACCCTTGCGCGCCGCCTCGGTCATCAGGGCGGGGGTGGTGCAGCCCATCTGATGGGTCGCGCTGTTCGGGAGGCGCCACCCGCCTCTGGCTACGGCCATGCGGTGGCGTAAGTGGCAAGTGGCGCGGACGAACTCGTTCGCGTTCAGGCTGGGTCGAGGTGGAGGAGGGAGTGAGGAGGAGATTGAGGAGGAGGAGGAGGAGGAGAAGGAGGAGGAGGAGGAGGAGGAGGAGCTGGAGGAAGGGGAGGGGGAATGGAAAGAGTAGGTTGCAGGAGGGGAGGAGCGAGGGGGATGAGCGGGCCCCAGAGGGCGCGTGCCGGAGCTCCACGCCGAGGGGGGCTTTGAGCTCCACCAGTCGGGGAAACATAAGACTCGAGTGCGTTTTTTGACGAGCGCGTCGTGGATTTTGACGGTCCAGTTGTCGTGGGACGATTGCTGCAGGAGGTCGCATCAGATTTTAAATTGGGTCCCGCCATTTGCATGATGGCCCCCGTCGGGCCAACCCGAGTCCCCCGAACCCGCGTCTTACGTCTCCCCGACCTTGAGGACTTCGAAACTCCGACCGCGAGGCTGAAGACGATAACCTCTCACCTTAGCTGCCCTGATGCGCCCCGTCTCGCCTTGAAGCGCAGCACGCACCGTGCGCAAAACGAATCGTTTTGCTACGCTGCGTGCTGGCTCGGGACGCGCTGGCCCACGTGTTGGCGAACGCATCGCGCCAGGCGTGCGCCTTCAGTCTCCGTGTTGCACTCCGTGTCAACACGCTGCGGGCTGCTTGTTGCGCATCGAGGCGGCTCAGGCACCCAAGCCTCCGATGGTCTGGCGTTGTCAGTCCCAGCGATTTCCCTCGAGGATCCAGGGCGGAGAATTGGCCCCGGGGAAGAGGTCGGGTCGCGCATGGGATTATTTCGCGGACGACGACCCCCGATCGACGACGACGACGACGACGACGACGACGATCTACGACCCCCGATCGACCGACGACAACGACGGCGACGACGTCGACGACGAAAACCGCGACGACGGTGTCGATCCTGGACCCCCCCCTCCTGGACCCCCGATCCCCGAGCCGCCGTCCTCGACCCCCCCGAGGGACGACGGCGAGAACGGCGGCGACGGCGGCGGCGGCGACGACGACGAGGGCGACGACGGCGCAGGGGCGGCGCGCCGCCGGGCGGCGGCGGGGGCGGCCGCGCGCGGGCGTGTGCCGCAGGGGTCGTCTACGCCGTGGGCAGGAACTCCGGGGGGCAGCTGGGCGTTCAGGACTCGGGGCGGGCGGGGAGAGGGGGGGGGGGGGCTAGAGGTGCCCCTGGCCCAAGGTGGCCCCAGAATCTCCAGGGAGGCCCCCTGCGGCCTCCAGAGCACCCGTCACGAGGCCCCTGGGGCCTCTCGCTGGGCTGCAGGAGGGAGCGAAGAGCTGGGGGCACCTTGGGCTATGGGGCACCTTTGGCAGCCCCCCGCACCTTCGGCGGCCCCCGACAGGGGGGGGGGGGGCGACGGGGGGGGAGGAGGCGCAGGCGTCCAGGAGGCCTGGGTGCGGATGCCTGGGGCAGGGGAGGGGGTGCAGGACGAGGACGAGGGCGAGGAGGGAAGAGAGAGGAGGGAGGAAGGAGGACGGAGGATAGGGGAGAAAGAGCAGCAGGAGGAGGAGGAGGAGGAGAGGGGAAGAACGGAGAGGGGAGGGGGGAGGGGGCACGGGGGGGTAAAGGAAAAGGAGGAGGAGGAGGAAGAGGAGGACGAGGAGGAGCAGAAGTAGGAGGAGGAGGAGGAGGAGGAGGAGGAGGAGGAAGAGGAGGACCAGAGTAAACTAAAGATGCATCAGCGATGCTGCAGTACACCTTTCCGTTCCAAGTCGCGTGCTCATACATCCCTACAAGTGTTCCTCTTCACCACAAGCAGCGCCTTCCTTGAGAGACCAGCACAGTAGCTCCTGCCAGTTGGGCGATGGTCTCGGTTTGAAATCGAACTGTTCTGAACCTTTCATACAGTTCAACATGGTGTCCGACGAGATCCCCTTTCAGACAAAGGAGCCCCCATCCGTGCAATTGCTGCAGAAGTCACACTTGTGGCAATGGAACCCGAGGAAGGGTCATTTGACAGTTCCATCTTGAAACAAAACCGCCCTGCATCTGTGCAACGCTACATGTGTTGAATATCCGGGTCTCTTAGAGTTAACGAAATCTCCAGCGATAATCCCACTTTGACAGCAAAAGGTTCGCAGTCCTTCACAACGTTACGCTGAAATCGATCGCGCGCGGCACTGAGGCAAAAGCCCCATCTTAAAAACGGCCAGTGCTCAATCATCCAAACTGTTGCGAGACTGTGAAGCGACTGCACGCGGCGCTAAGACGAGACCCAGGAACCCCTCGCCAGCCGTGAAGCGGTGGTAACAAGTGAAGACAGGTACGCGGGGCGCCCAGGCGAGAGTACCAGCTTGAAAACGTTTCCCTATCCACCGTTGAAACTGTTGCAAATGCTTAGGACGAGTGTGCGCGACGCTGCGGCGATAGTCACAGCTTGAAAACCACCAGAACCCTGTCCTTGAACGTGCCGTGTTGTTCTAGCGCGGGAGTGCGCGGCGCTAAGGCCGGAGCCGCATTTCGAGAGCGCCCACCCCATCCATCCTTGGAGTTGCTGCATTGGTTCGAGACGAGTGCGCGTGGCGTAAAGGCGAGAGCCACATGTTGATAAGAAACCGCCCTCCATCCCAGAAACGTTTGCCAGATGTTGAAGCGACTGCTGAGTAAAACGAGTGTTCACGGCGCTAAAGCGAGAGCCACAGTTTGAAAATTGATTGCGCTCCATCTTTACATGTTCGGTAACCTTGTCAAATCAATGCGCGCGGCACTCAGACGAGAGTAACGTTTTTGAAAATACCGCCCTCCACATTTGAAAACATTGCATTGGCTTGGCAAGTGTGCGCGGCGCTACGGCGAAAGCCACATGCTGAAAACTCGCGTAACCCCGCCAGCCCATCCAGCAACGATGCCCATGCGAGTTGCCATGATCAGGATGTATAGGAGCATGTAGTGGAATAACCCGATGGGGAAGCCGTCGTACCCCAAGAGGGGGAGGATGGAGGAGAAGGAGGAGTCATCGAAGGAAGAGGGGGAGGAGGGAGGAGAGCGGGGAAAGGGAGGAGAGAGGAGGAGGAACAGGCGGAGGAGGAGGAGGAGGAGAAGGGTGAGCAGAATGGCCAGATGCATCTTGGATGCCTCCCGGAGTCTCTTCGGATGTCTCTTGAAAGTTTCTTGGAGTCCTCTTGGGGCGTCGTGGGGGCTTCTTGGCGGTCCTGGGGGGCTCTTGGAGCGTCTTGGGTGTCTCGCGGGAGCCTCTTGGCCCCCCCCAGGAGTCCAAATTGTGCCCAAAATCATGGCAAAACCAATGTTAGCCAATGTGGGCCCCAAACAGTGTGTTTCTGGCAAGCGAGGTGGTGCTATCTACGTGAAGCAACCTATGTGATGCAATCTACGTGAAGATATTACGTGGGGCATTATACTCTACGTGGTGCATATGTTGTATAATCAACTTTGTGCACAAGATATTGTGCAACTGATGTGGTGCAACCCATGTGATGCAGTTAAGAGATGCTCACTAGTGACTTGTCAACTCCACTGCTCGCGCAGTCATCCCACTCACACACCCGCAACTTGGTCTGCAAAACCCGTGCGGCAGCGATTTCGATGACTGCGTGGCGCTGGCTGGCGCATTGCTGCGGCCGCGCTAGCGCGCGCGGCTCGAGCGCAGAGCGACCAGCTGGTCTGGCGCGACCGTCGCGGCCGCGGCGACGCTGACGATTCCATGCGGGACAGTCGCGCACAGGTCAGAATCCTCACAACACCGTCGGCTTCCAGATACACAAAACGAAAGCTAACCACACGGCTCCCTTCTCAATAAAGAGTGCGACATTTCAATGCGCGCGCGCTCAAACCACCGAAGCTCTGTCTCTGTCTTGCTCAGAGTACCATCAAGAACCATGCAACACCATGTGAGCGGCGGATGGAAACGGGGTCGACTGCGTGGACATTCGCTGGTACGGTAGGTCCGTGTCGTGTCGACCCGCGGCGACCTGGCCGCCGGCGTTCAACGTTGAACGCCGCGGGTGATCCAGAATCGTTCGATGTGGAACGATTTGGACGTTTCGGAAACGGCCGATCCTTCAATGTTGAACGGTCCCCGCGGTGTCAGAAACCAACGCCGAAGTCGGCACGACTCAAACCTGCCGTAAGCGTCCCGCGTAAGGTCGCGCGTGAGTTCTCGTTTCTCCGCGTCGTGTGCCACGCTAGCGGCCCGCCTGAGCCGCGGGGGAAGGTCGCCATGCCGTCTCGCGTAAGGCCAGTGGACGTTCGTTGCTCATGTGTTGTTTCAGTGCAGTGCTTCACGGCCTTCGCTGCCCCCCCCCACCATCCTTGTTACATTGTGCCATGCGGGCTATCCGCGCGCGCCCCCCCGCGCTCGCGCGCAAGCCTAAGCCATTCAAAAGCATGTGCTACGCATTCCAACATAGAGCTCTTCAAGTCCAGATTGGTTGCATCTATGACACACGTCGCTGTTCAGCTGGAACTCCTACAGATCTGTTCCCCATGAACAGCATCATCAAACGCCCACCTGGGCCATGGATCTGCATGAGAAGTGTCCTCGCGGTATTGCGCCCGCTGGGATATGTTGACACGTTCCCGTCGGTAGTTGCACCCACGGCCTCTGGAGCATAGCCAACAGGTTGCGGGTGGGTCTGGTGGGGTGCTTTGCTAGAGTATTGCCGTTGACGACCTCAAGTTCTTCAGGTAAGGATGCTCTCCCCCCCGCCAATCGGCGGTGAGCCCAGGGGAGACAGTGAGAGGGGGCAGGCCTCCTCAGAAGGCGGAGGCGCTCCTCAGAAGCCGTCGCGCCTTCCCGAGAAGCCCTGCAAGCCCTGCGGCCTCTCAGAGGCGCCAGGGCTTCTGCGAAGCCCCACCGCCCTTTGAGGAGGCCGGCCCCTCATCGCTTCCCCTCCGGTCAGGCGATCGCAAACATGGATTAAGGGGGCTCGTGGATTTCCGCCGCCGAACGAGGCGGCACCGGCCGCATTTTGGGGAGGGCACCTCCCCCGATTCCTAAATTTGGCGACCGCGCGCCTAATCCATGGATCTCTAATCCATGTTTGCGCGCCCCCGAGAATGGGCTCGCCGCCGAGCCCAGCTTCCCGCCCCCCTTGTGGAGGACCCCGTCGTCGGGACCCCGACCATGGTCATGGTCGACGTACAGACCGTCAGCGCCAGCCAGGGCCTCTCCGGCGAGTTCACCGTCTTCCTGACGACCGACGGGGCGGTCGGCCGGCCGACAGAAGAGACCTTCGTCGTCGGCGCGCCTCCCTCGTCCCCTCCTTCCTCCTCCTCCTCCTTCTCCTCCTCCTCGTCCTCCTCCTCCTCCTCATCCTTCTCCTTCTCCTTCTCCTCCTCGTCCTCCTCCTCCTCGTCGTCCTCCTCCTCCTTCTCCTCCTCCTACTCCTACTCCTCCTCCTCCTCCTCCTCCTCGTCCTCCTCCTCCTTCTCCTCCTACCCCTACTCCTTCTCCTCCTCCTCCTCCTCCTCCTCCTCCTCCTCCTCGTCCTCTCCTCCTTCTCTTCCTCCTCCTCCTCCTCCTCCTCCTCCTCCTCCTCCTCCTCCTCCTCCTCCTCCTCCTCCTCCCCCTTCCCCTCCCCCTCCCCCTCCCTCCTCCTCTCCTCATTCCGCGAGGCGGAGGAGGAGGCGGCAGGAGGTAGGGAGGGAGGCGACAGGAGGAGGAGGAGGAGGAGGAGGAGGAGGAGGAGAAGGCGGAAATCAGAGAGTTAGATGCTCGTTTTGGGAACCTTTCTGGGGCCCACCGAACGGATCTGTTCGACTCAAGTTCGACTCAAGTTCGATTCAGGTTCGACTCATGTTCGACTCAGGGTCGACTCAAATCGACGGACGTTCGACACAGCTTCGACGCACGAATGAAGCGAGTGTCTCCAGGAAGGTCCCCGGAATGAGCATCCAAAGAGGGAGGTGGCTGGAGGGAGGTTCGGATGCATCTCCTGGGAGTTTGAGTTCAACACCGGCGCTGGTTCACCCGCAGTCCTTCTCCTGCAGAAACCCGCCCAATCCAGCGTGCTCCCGCTCAATATTGTGGCTACTCCAGGTTAATCCGGCTTAATGGCCCCTGAGTTAGGTTTTATAGCATTTGATATTTGAATCGTTCGTACGGTTACCTCCCAGGAGTTCCCCCTGATGCGTGGGAGGCAGGTCGTTGGTGACGCAACGATAGCATGACTGTCAACGCGTTCGCAGACTACAGCTCTATCAACAAAAAACGTCGGGGAGGCCCCAGGAAGAAGAACCGGACAAAGCACGCAACAGAATCAGAGGTTGAAGTCAAGCGAGCCTCTCGCCCTAGGGGCGACGGGATGAGGTCGAAGAGAGGAGGGATGGGAAGTGCCCCCCTCATTGGTGCGTCGGCGCGCACGGCTGGCCGGATACACACACACACACATATATATATATATATATATATATATATATGTAGGTATACACACATACATATTTGTATGTATATACAACACACACACCACGCACACACATACATACATACGTATATAGATGTGTGTAATACACACACGATTGCAGTGGCGCTTCGCGCCATGCACCTTGGTCCTTGAAGTTTCGAATGCAGGCGGCGTGGGTGCGCGTGGACACGGGGCGGGCACCGCCAAGTCGGAATGGGTGGGGAATTCCTGAGCGGGAGCGACTGGACAACACCAGCTGAGGCTAGCTCAAGGCGTTTCGGGGCCCAGAGGCGCGAATACGTCTCAGGCAAGTGGTTGGTCTAGCATGAAGCAAGGCATCCCCCTTTTCCTCCTATCCTTTCTCCTCCTCATCCTCATCCTCTTTCTCGTCCCCCCCCCCTCTTCCTCTATCGTCCTCCTCCTCCTTCTCCTTCTCCTCCTCCTCCTCAACCTCCCTCTTCCTCCTCTTCCTCTTCCTCTTCCTCCACTTCCTACTCGTCCTCTTCTTCTTCTTCCTGCTCCTGCATATTCCCCATTATGGTTGTCATTCTCTCCTTCCTCGTCATCCTCTTCCTCCTCCTCCTCCTCCTGCTCCTCTTCGTTCCCCCCTCCTGCTTCCCAACATGTCTCGCGCTTTCGCTTCTAATCGGCTCTTGCGGCCTCAGGAGGGCCCCAAAGAGATCCAAACCAGGCCCCAGAGAGGCCCAACGCTGGCCCAAGAGCGCCCGGGCAGGCAACAATCCAACAGGGCCCGCAGAGTCGCAAATCAGACAACAAAAATTGAAAAAGCAATGTTTTCGGCCTTTTCGTTGTTTCGCTTCTGGGTGACTCGAGAGGCGTCAGGACGACCCCAGGATTGCTTCAGCGAGGCGCAAGCCGAGGCCCGCAGAGGCCCAAGGCTGGCCGAAGAGGGCCCAAAGAAGTGAAAACCCATTTCAAAGAATTGAAAACCATTTTACAAAACAAAACATGACTATCAATGTTTTTGGTTGTCCCGCCTTGTCGCTTCCGATTGGCTCTTGACATCTCTCGAGGCATCCAGATAAGCCCATGACGATTCCAAATGAGTCCCCAGAGGAGCCCGAAGGAGGGCACAGGTTGGCCCTAGAGGGCCAGGAGGTTCGAAACTTATAAACAACCCATGGGAAAAGCAATGTGTTCGCCCTTCTCGCCTTTTTGCCTCTGGTCGGCTCGGGAGGCGTCAAGATAGCCCCAGGATGGCCCCAGAGAGGCGCAAACCGAGGCCCACAGAGGCCAAAGGCTGGCCGAGAAAGGCCAAATAATTGAAAGTCCGTGAACACCCTGGGAAATTTATGTGTTTGGCTTTTTTCGCCTTTTCGCTTACTATCCGCTCAAGAGGCATCAAGATTGCCCCAAGACGGCTCCAGACGAGTCCCCAGACGAGCCCCAAAAGAGGCCCAAGGCTGGCCGAAGACGTCCAAAAAATTGAAAATCAATAAAAATCCGGGGGGAAAAAGAAGCTACGTTTTTGGCCTGCTCGCCTTTTCGCTTACGGTCAGCTCTTGAGGCGTTGAGATAGCACCAGGAGGGCACCAAATGAGTCCCCAGACGAGCCTCAAAGAGGCCCAAGGCTAGCGCAACAGGGCCCGGAAAGTCGAAAATCAAAGAAAAACCGTGTGAAAAGCAATGTGTCTGGCTTTTTCGCTTTTTCGCTTCCGGCTGGCTCGGGGGGCGTCAAGATGACCCCAGGATGGCCGCAGAGAGGCGCAACACAAGCCCGAGGATTCGAAATTCGTTTGGGGGGGTGCGCGGGGGTGTGGGCTCCTCTGGCTTATATATATATATATATATATATATATGATTTTATATATATATATATATATATATTTACACCCTGGTTTCGCCCAGGGGGGGGCGGGGAGAGCAACACCGCCGGAAAGGCGGAGGGTACCGCAGCCTTGCCGCGGAAAAGGAGGATCCGGGAGGATCGAGAAGGAGCACCAAGGAGCGATATGTTCGGATGATCTAGGGAGGAGGAGGAGGAGGACGAGGAGGAGGGTGAGGAGGAGTAGGCAGGAAGAGGAAGAGGAGGAGGAGGAAGACGAGGAAGGAGGAGGAGGGAAGAGGAGGAGGAGGAAGAGGAGGAGGAGGAGGAGGAGGGAGGTGAGGGAGCAGGAGCGGAGGGGAGAGGAGGGAGGAGGAGGGAGGAAGGAGGAGGGAGGAGGAAGGAGGGATGAGGGCGGAGGGAGCGGGCAGGAGGGTTAGGAGGGAAGGAGGAGGAGGATCAAGGATTCGGACTAGCAAAGGTTCTGCTCGTTTTGGGGAAGTTTGGGAGGTCTCTGGGGAGCTTCAGGGGATTCCAGGGATCTCGAGTGGTGGCAACCTTGTGGCCCAGCCAAAGGGTTTGGAGCACGAGAGTTATGTAAACAAAATACAGACCTCGGGCAAATTGAGTTGTTCAATCCCAGCGTGTCGTTCCCTTGTGTTCGCCCTCCAGAGTGGCGCTGCCGGGCCCCAAGACGAGAAACTAAATGTGTGGGACAAAAACGATGCTAGCAAGGCGGAGCTCGAGACCCCTGAGGCCCGACAATTGAGAAGTAAGCAGGATGGTGTATGAGGAAGTCAGAGCCTTCTGGCCGTGTCACGCGAAGTCTCGGAACTGCAACAGGGAGAATCCCACCACCTGTGCGGTGCGAGTCGGCGGCCACGTGAGATATCCGCCGCGAGGCACGCCGAACCACAACGACCGTAAGCACGGTTCGCCTCCAGCCGTGCAGCTGGTTGAAACTTGAAGGACAACGTGCGCGGCGATGATACGAGGGCACTGTTTTGACAGCGATACTGTTCCCCATTGCGGTACGGTTTTGCCTCGGGGTGTCTTACCTCTTCCCCAGACAGCGCTTGCACTTAGGAGTGTTTGACTTTGGGGTTGAAGAACTGAAGGGGTTGCTGGTCTGGCGGCTCGGTTGCCGCCGTCGCCGCCTCGTCGCAGCCCGTCGTCTGGGCCTGGTTGTGAGTGGTTCGGCTATGTTGTCGCCGTCGCCGTCCCGTTGCCGCCTCGTCGCCGCCCGTCGTCTGGGCCTGGTTGTCGGTCTGGCGGCTATGTTGTCGCCGTCGCCGCCTCGTCGCCGCCCGTCGTCTGGGCTTGGTTGTCGGTCTGACGGCTAGATTGTCGCCATCGCGGCCCCGTCGCCGCCTCGTCGCCGCCCGTCGTCTGGGCTTGGTTGTCGGTCTAAGGGCTATGTTGTCGCCACCGCCGCCCCGTCGCCGCCTCGTGGCCGCCCGTTGTCTGGTGGGGGCGGGTCGGTCTGACGGCTCTGTTGTCGCCGTCGCCGCCCCGTCGCCGCCTCGTCGCCGCCCGCCGTCGGGGTCTGGTTGTCGGTCGAAGGGCTATGTTATCGCCAGTTGTCGCCTCGTCGCCGCCTCGTCGCCGGCCATCGCCTGGGCCTGGTTGCCGGTATGGCGACTGTGCTGTCGCCGTCGCCGCCCCGTTGCCGCTCCGGCGCGGCCTCGCACATTTGCACCACATACACAACATAGATTGCACAACATAGATTGCACAACATAGATGGCAGCATATAGATCGCACAACATAGATTGCACCCCACAGATCGCACTGCCTATATCGTACTGCACAGATTGTACCACATCGATTGCGCCAGATAGGGTGCGCCACATAGAGTGCACCACTTATATATTGCACAACATAGACTGCACAACAGGCGTTGCACTTCTTAGGTCGCACCTCATAGATTTGCACAACCTAGATCGCACAACGCAGGTTCCACCACATTTATTGAATCGCTTTGCTCATTCCGCCGGCCCATTTCGCATGACTGAGCCTCTTGGGGCCGCTGGGGGGCCTCTTCAGCGTCGCTTGGGGGCCTCCTGAGGGCCTCTTGGGGGCTTTTGGGGCCTCTCAGGGGCCTCTTGAGGCCTCCTGGGGGCTTCTTAAGGCCGAGGGCTCGAAGTTTTGTTTTGTGTTCCCCCTTTGGGGCATCGCTTGGGGCCCTCTTGGGCCCCTCTTGGGCCGTCTTGGATGCCTCTGGGGCCGTCTTGGAGCCCTCTTGGGCCATCTTGGGGCCTTCTTGGGAGCTTCTTGGGCCCTCTTGGGGCGATCTTGGGGGCCTCTTGGGCCGTCTTGGGGCGTCGGGAAGCCGAAAAGATGGACACGCCAAAATCTGCCCAAAACCTAAGGAAAAGTAATGAATTTTGCCTCTTGGGGCCCTCTGGGGAGTGCTCTTGGAGGCCTCTTGGGGCGTCTGGGGGCCATCTTGGGCGTCTTGGAACGATCGTGTGGCATCTCGGAGCACTCTTGAACCATCTTGGAGGGCTCTTGGCGGCCTCGTGGCCCTTCTTGGGGCTCTCTGGAGGGCCACGGGGGCGGCGCCCAGGAGGAAAACCATCTCTGACCCGAGTCTGCCGGGGATCGCCCGGGGTACTTTTCGTCCGGGGACCCCCAGGGGCCGCCCCGCGCGCGCGAAGTAGAAGTATTATTTAGCAGTTACCGGAGATCTTAGCACGCCTCTGGCCCGTTGGGCCGGCGAATTGCACAAAATTAATCACCGACGCGTGGACACCATAATTGTCATTTGCGTGATCAGTATCGATGCCGCCGTGGGCCTTGCCGTCGTCATCGTCGTCCTCGTCACCAGCATCGGTAATATCATCATCGCGCTTGCCGTTGTCGACTCCGTCATGATACCGCGCCCGCCCGAGTCACTGACTCCAACTAAAGTGCCCGTGCGTCAGCGCGGCTTGCGAGATTCGCTGGGAAGTCCCCAGAGGTCAGCGCCACCGCGGCCGCGCCGGCCGCGCCAGACTAGCTGGCCGCTCTGCGCGCAACCATGCGCGCGCTAGCACGGCCGCAGCGATGCGCCAGCCAGCGCCAAGCAGTCATCGCAATCGCCGCCGCATGTGTTTCGCAAACCAAATTGCGGGCGGTTGGGAAGGATAGGTGCGCGAGCAGTGGAGTTGACAACTTCAAGTTCAGCCGGATGAATTGCACCACATTGGTTAGTCGACATAGATTGCGCAACATGGGGAGCTAGAAGCAAACTGTTTGGGGCCCACGCTGGTTTGTGAAAGAAATGGTGGGTGCGACGTGCTTACCCTGGATGGGGTTCCCCGGGTTCCTTGGTGTTGGTTCATTGCTTGACGTCCTCGGTTCCGCTGGGTTCCTCGGCGTCATCGTCTTTGCTCAGGTTCCTCGGGGTCCACTTCTTGAGTCCCCCAGGGTTCCCCAAGCAATGCCTAATAGCACCAGGCAACGCCACGCAGCGCCCAGCAAAATAAGGCAATGCAGAACCAATACACCGCAATGCTAAGCAACGATTCCAAGCAATGCCAAGCGACGATTCCCAGCAACGCCAAGGAACACAAAACATCGGAAAGCAATGCCAAGCAATGCGTTGCCTTGAACTGCCTTGCAGTACCCAAAGCTGTTCTGAATTGTTTTGGAAGAAGAAGACCCCTAATTCGGGTCGCGCGTGTTTCAGCATCTGTAGATGTTGAACATTGCCCGCTTTTCATTTGGAATTTCAAATCGCACAGTCACTATGACACGGGAAGTTGAGAGATTCAGCATTTTTGAGAGAATATGCAATTTCCAACCGTGGAGCCGTTGGAATTACCAGGAGTGGGGTTGGCAACGACCCGCCTTGCAGCCTTATGGTTTCCGGGAGCTTCGCAGTTATAACATCATTCTTCGCGAGAAGTCAGGTGCCACGCGGATTTCCCTCGCAAGACCTTCCATACTTCAGGGCCGTAAGGACCGTGGAGAAGTCTGACGCGACAGCGTGATGTTGAAGCGAACCTGCCCCCCTCACATGCAGTTCTGGGATGACTGCAGCGCTCGGGCTTCTAATCGTGAGGAGGTGTCACTCGACCCGTCCTATCGGCACATCGGGTGGTGCGAGGATAGATTGTGCACCCACAAGGGGGAGGGGCAGGAGAAAAGGTGGGGGATGCAGCCACACGTGCAGAGCAGAAGAGACACACCGGAAGAGGGGGTACGCCGCGGCGGATTGAGCTGTGGCCTCCAGTCGTGTGTGGAGAGCCGAGGGGGGGACAGATCGAGCGACTCGTGAAAACGTCCGTTCTCTCGGCATCACTTGCAATATGATAACAACATGATGGACTTAGTGCGACCCCAGCTCGGGATATGCGTTTTAGCTATGCGATGGCATGCAGCGCAAAGCATGACCATGCAGAGCGAAGCACTGCCGAGCATAACATGGAAAGTCCGCTTTGCTTAGCATTGCATAACCTGGTGCAGCATGGTACGGCATAGCACTGATTGTTACACAACTGCATGGTATCGGATAGCATGACACTCATCAGCATGATTATTGCACACTCTACCAACCGAACCCGTCGCGACCCCAATTAAAGGCCTTTGCTTCTCCCAAGGCAATTCCAACCAGGTCCGAGCAATGCAATGTTCATCAATGTTTGGCATTGATTGGCGTTGTGAGGCACCGGTGCGAGTTGCTTTGAATCGTTGCTTGGTATTGCTCGGAATTGCTTTGCATCTTTTTGCTATGCGTTGCATTGCGTGGCGTTGCATAGTATTGCTTAGCATGTCTTGACATGGATTGGAATTGCTTGGCATTGACTCTGCATTGTTTGGCAATCATTGACGTTACTTGGGATTGTTTGGCATTCATTTGAAGTGTTGCTTGGCATTGCTTGGAATTGTTTGGCATTGCTTGCCATTGCTTCGCGCTGCTTTGCGCTGCGTTGCATTACTTGGCGTTGATTGGAACAGCTTGCCATTGCCTGGTCTTGTTTGTTTTGTTTGGAATTGTTTGTCGTTGCTTGCGATTGGTTGGAATCGTTACTTGGCATGGGTTTTCATTGCTTGGACCTGGGCAAGCCCGAGCCACGCTTGGGGCCGCCCCAGTAACCCCAGGCAATGCGAGCAACGCCAGCCGGGGATGGCCCCACACTCACCGGTTCTTGTAACAAACAAGCAAGAATTTGTTAGGGCAACGCCTAATTTTGGAAATCTCGCGTGCGTGACCAGCATGTCACTGCATGGCATGGCGAACTACGCCATGACATAGCATACCATGTATCATCAATGCAAGGCTTGTCAAGGCAGAGTACCTGCGGCAGAAAGTCAAGGCAGTGGAATGCGAAGCGACGCGGCGCAACATGCAGGGCAGAGCCGAGCAGTCAAAGCAGAGAACAAGAGGCCGAAGACCCCGAGACACCGTGGCACCCCCAAGGAACATTGAGAAACGTCTGTGTTTGTCTGTGTCTGTGTGTGTCTGTCTCTGTGTGATTGTGTCTGTGTGTGTCTATGTGTTTGTGTCTGTGTGTGTGTCTGTGTGTGTGTCAGTGTGCGTGTGTGTGTGTGTCTGTGTGTCTGTGTGTCTGTGTGCGCGTGTGCGTTTGTGTGTATGCGTGTGCGTGTGTGTGTGTGTTGTGTGTGTGCGTGTGTGTGTGTGTGCGCGTGTGTGTGTGTGCGCGTGTGCGCGTGTGTGTGTGCGCGCGTGTGTGTGCGCGTGTGTGTTTGTGTGTTTGTGTGTGTGTGCGTGTGTCTCTGTGCGCTGCGGGGAGCCCTCAGGCCGCCTGGACGTTCCAGCTCCGGCCCGGTGCGCGCGGATCCTCTCTCCAGGGGGCGCGCGTGGGGACAGGCCAGGTCCGAGCACACGCACAGGCCGCTGCCGTCGCGCACCGCACCGCAGCGATATCCGCAGGCCGCGCAGACCAAAGGCAACCTCCAGGCGTTCCAAAAAAGGCCTTGCCTTCGAGGATCCCCCTCCTCCCCCTCCTCATCCTCCTCCTCCTCCTCCTCCTCCTCCTCCTCCTCCTCCTCCTCCGCCGCCACACAGATTGCATCGGATGGCTTAGCACATGGGGCGTTCCGAAAAGGGCCTTGCCTTCGAGGATCGAAGGAGCTGTCGTCTCCTCCTCGGCGGAAGGGCGACGGGAGGGCGGCGGGAGGTCGGCGGAGGTAAGATGAGGCAGCCTCCGCCAGCGGAGGCCAGCGGACGGGCGGCGGAAGGTGGCGGAAGTAAAGAGTGCGCCCCCTAAAAGATGACAACACGTTCGGGTCCGGGGCCTCCGGAAGCCGCCACCTGTCCCTGCCCAGGGCCGTGCTCGCGTGCAGCCGCGCAGGGGCCACCCCCCCGTTTGGCCGCGAGGAGCCCCCGCGGCAGCGAGGCCTGCTCGGCGAGGAGCAGGCAGCATGCCGTGCCGCCCCGCTGGGGACTGGCGCGCGCTCCGCGCGCGGGCGGGCCAGGCGGCCGCGCGCGCGGCGGGCGGCCTGCCCCCATGCGGTGTGGGGGCGTTGGTCCAGGAGTGTGGCCAGGGCGCTTCCGGCCCGGGAGGGTCCCTTATCTGAGGAGGGCGGCGGGGATGTCCACTGCCAGTCCGCGACTGGAGTTCCACTGGCTTCCAGGCCCTGGATTCCTTCTCCAATGCTTCCCTATTCCGTGCCCCCACCGTAAGGGGAGCCTGAGCCTGCGGGGTGCCCCCCTGGGCCTTGGGGCCCTGCCCTCGGCGACCTCAGGTCAGGTCCCTCGGGAGCAACGAGGTCGGCCAGCTGGGAGACGGCACCTTCGAGGAGAAGGGGAGCCTCGTGACGGTGTTCGATGCCGGCGTGCAGGCGGTGAGCGCCGGCGACGGGTTTTTTGCCTCCCTGCTGCAGGACGGTTCCGTCATGGCTGCTGGCCAGAACACCAACGGGCAGCTGGGCGACGGCACCACTGTGACAAGTAGCTCGCCGCAGAGGTCACACATCGACGATGTCTCGGCGATCTCCGCGGGGTGGTGGCACCTGGTCTTCCTCAAGACCGATGGCACAGCACACGCCACCGGGAAGGGCGAGAGCCTCAACGCGGGAGCGCTCGGCGATGGCGGGGCGGCCGACCGCGCGACGCCAGTCCAGGTGCTGTCGGTCACCGATGTGCGGGCAGTCGCCGCGGGGAAGTCGCACACCCTCCTGCTCCGCCAGAACGGCGATCGAGACAGCACATAACAAAAACGCCCGAAGCATCATGAGGTGCCGGAGCTCCGCGCGGACTTCTCGCGTCGGCGCTGGGCCCCCCCCTGGCCCCGGCACGCTCCGCGCGCCGGGGAGGGAGGTCCGGCGCCGGTCCCAGAAGTCCCTGCGGGCTTCCGTCGGCTAGACGTAAGAGTGACCTTTCGCCGGAGTGACCTTTTGGTCGGAGCGTAGATTACCTTCCCCGCTTTCGATTCCAGGCAAAACCAAGTCATACCACGCGCCTCCTCGTCAAGCGACCTGACCAGTACAGGCCGTAGTTTGGCATCGTTTGGTATCTCTTGGAAGCGAGGGTGGTCAAAAGCGAGGTAGGTTTGTTTTCCCCCTACTTTGGTCGGGCACAGATAGGTCCCCAGATGGCTGAAAACGAAGCAGTATTGCAGCTGCCTGCGCGCCCAGGTGTGGTCCCCCCGCGGCCCCCCAAAAGTCGCGCACCACAGGTCACTCTTACCCAGGGTCACTCTTGCGTGTAGCCGATTCCGAAAGTCTGTAGCCGTGCAGTGCTGTGTGTCCCCCCAGGCGAGGTGTGGGGCACGGGCCAGAACTGGAACGGCGAGCTCGGGCTTGGCAGCACCGAGTCGCCCGTGCTCTCACCCCTCAAGAACACCATCATGAGCGGCGTGCAGGCCATCGCGGCCGGAGTCGGGTGCTCGTTCTTCGTGAAGGCCGACGGCACGGCGTGGGCTACCGGCAGCAACGCGAACGGGAAGCTCGGCGACGGAACTACGCAGTCCAGGTCCAGCCCCGTGCAAGTGCTCGACGGCGTGCAAAGCGTCTCGTCGCAGAACGACCACACGCTCTTTGTGAAGGCCGACGGCACGGCGTACGCAGCTGGGGAGAACTTGTACGGTCGTCGAGCAAAAATTCGCCATTCGCTTACGAGTCTCGCCGAGCGCGTTCCACTACTCGCAAAGTGCCTACTCGCAAGCGTCTGAACAACCCACGTTCGCCTCGATGTAACCTATCGTAAATCCCCACGGCGGATCCAGGCCATGTGCGAGTAGTGATTTTGCCAGTAGCGGAACGCGCTTGCCTAGGGTCCTGAGGGAAATGGGTTCTCAGGTCCTTCGCCGTCTTCGGGCTCTCGGGGCCTTCCACGGGCCCCGGGACGATCATCAGGAAGGGGAAAAAATACAAAGACACAACGAATCGTCGATCCCCCGGAAAATATGGGAAAATATGGGAAGTGGGGGGGAAGACAGTAACCACGAAAAGATGGGAAAATATGGTGATTCCTGTTATTTGTGTGTATTTGTTTGTGTGTCCCAGGGCCGATTCATATCAGGACTCAGGATGAAGATCTGGTCGGGTCCAGGACACGTTTCCCTCAGGTCTTGTTTCCCCCATGCCCCAAAAAAACAACATGAACGTAAATTATCTGAGTTCCGCGCGGATCTCTTGGATCGGCGCTGGAGCCCCCTGGCGGCGCCTCTGGCGCCGCCATTGGCAAGTTCCGCGCGAGCGGGAGGGATCCGCGCTTACTTCCAAGGGGGTTTCCAGGGTCTTCCGTGTGGTCGCCTGCTCCGCTGCCCGACTCGCGGAGACGGCACAAGAGGCGCCCAACAGGGCTCCAGGACACCCCAAACGGGCACCAAGACGGCCCACGAGATACGCTGAATCCGCGCGGACCGCCGAAAGTTTGCGTTTGTGCGGTTTGTTGTTCCTCGAGGTCAGCTGGGCACTGGGCGATACGGTCTCACGCACGAGCCCGGCAGAACGGTGATGGAGAAAGTCATCAGTGCGGTGGCAGGTCGACCCATCATGTCGCATCTTCGGGGCACCTCGCTTGTCCCCCAAATCGGTGCCGTTTCTTGTGCCCGACGCTGGCTCGATGCGGACTCGACGCGGATTTGGCGTGGATTCGACGCGGGTTCGACACGGATCCGACGAGGCCGACATGGATCTGACACGGATTCGACGCGGATAGGGCCGCGACGGGAAAGATAAGGTCCCCCGAGGATGCAGCAGAAGGTCCATACCACAGCTTCTTTCTGACGAACGGCAGCATCTCGTACAATTTCGCAGCGCCCTGCCCTGCGGGCACCTCGGTCGGCGCCGTGGACGGCGTCGAGGTCACTCTCGAGACGTGGATACCGCACCAGGGGGAGCGCAGCATTCGCTGCCCCGACGGCTCTTTGGGCTCCCTTGACGTGAAGTGCTGGGCTGGCAGGATCACGGTTGTACAGGATTCCTGCGCCGCCACCACCACGGTTGCCGGCTGCGACGCGGGCGAAGTAGCCAGCGCGGCAGGCATCGAGGTGGTCTTGACAGCACCGCTGCAGCACCAGGGGCTGAAGGCCGTCGGATGCTCCGGCGGCTACGTCGGCGCCGCGGTGGTGGAGTGCTCCGAGGTCGAGAAAACACAACGGCATAAACACAAACTTTCGAAGCTCCTCGCGGATCCCTGGGATCAGTGCGGGACCCCCTCCCTGGCGCTCGGAGCGCGCCAGGGGCGGCGCCGGAGGCGCCACCAGGTGGGCCTACTGCAGCTCCAGAATCCGCGCGGAGCTCTGGAAGTGTACGGTCGAGCTCGATCGGTGGGTCGGCCCTGCCGAGTCCAGGCTCTCCTCCCGCGTGTCCTGTGTGCTTGTTGGGGGCGGCCCCGTGCCCTCCCTGCCCTCCGGGCGGCCCTTTCGCGCGGCCCGCTCGGATCGGGCTCCCCCTCTTCGTGCCGCCCCGCGCGCCCTCGAAGCGCTCCCCCTCGGCGGGGCGCGCCCGCCGCCTGCCCCCCGCCCCCCCCCCCGGCGAGGGCAGCCTCCGCGTCGCCGAGAACCACTGCGCGGCCGCCGCCACCGCGGCGCCGACCCCGGCGGCGGCCGCCGGCTGCGCGCCCGGCCAGGCGGCCTCCGCCGGCGGCGCCGCCACGGCCGGCCTGCCGGAGCCCCTGCCCGACGGGGGGCTGGCGGTGGTGCCCTGCGGCGGCGGGCGCGCGGGCGGCGCGGCCGTGGAGTGCTCGGCGGGAAGCCTGCGGGTCCTCGTGGAGCGGTGCGGGGCCGCCCCCGCCGCGACCGCGGCGCCCACTCCGGCGCCGACGGAGGCCGCCTGCGAGGCTCGGGCGTCTGGGGGCGAGGAGAGGGGGCGCCCAGAGGTGATGGCGTCGCGAAACCTCGGGGCGGGGGGCGGGAGGTTTTGCGCTGCTTTCGGCCCGGGGGGGGGCCCTCGCTGGGCCCTGCAGGACCCTCCAAAAACGACTCGGGCTGAAAAGCCGGCCGGGGGGAGAGGGTCTGGACTCCCTGGGACGCCTTGGGGGCCCCCAAACGGGATGGTGACCACACCGTGCGGTGAGTCGGTGGGGATTCGGGGTCACCGCACGGTTTTGGGACTCGGGTCGTTCTCTGAGGATGTCTCGGGCGACAGGGGCATCCGAGGTCCCAAAACCGTGCGTTGACGGACCGTGCGGTGAGGTCTTGGGGGATTTCGAGGTCACCGCACGGTCTGTCACCGCACCGTTTTTGGACCTCAAAACGCCGTCCTGGAAAAATCAGGACGTCGCATGTCTGGGTACGGGAAGATGGGGTACGATGCCCAACAGCAAGTCTTGTTCATATTGAACAGGGCTCGCTGTCCGCGCCGCCGCGGACGCTGTTCGTTGAAGACAAGGAGCCGCCCGCCCAACGGCGGCCGCTGTCCGTTTGGGACAACATTTCTTGTTGGGCATTGTCCCCATTTTCTCCGTACCCACTTCGGGCGTCCAAAGGGCAGTGCCAAGGGTGGTCGGTCACTCGACGAAGGAGCAAACGCCATCAGCAAAACTCTTCGCGCTTTGCGCGGATTTCTGGGATCCTCGCGGGGCCCCTCCGGCGGCGCCTCCAGCGCCGCCCCTGGCGCGCTCCGCGCGCCTGGGTCCGGCGCGGATCCTAGAAATCCGCGCTCCGCGCTAAGAGGGCTTCAAAGTAGAAGCCGGCAGCGCAGGGTAGGCTATAGCCCCTCTCCAAGGCTCCCGGTCAGGCATCCTCGCGGCGCCCTGCTTGAGCCTCCAGCGTGTCCCAAGAAGCGTTTTCCGACTCGTTCCCAATACGCGTGCCTAAAACCTTTCCGCTGGTCCTTCGAAGCGCCAAAAGAAGCGTGTTTCTTGATCGCTCTGAACATAATTGGCATTATAGCCCACCCGCCCACCCCCTATAACGTAACGCCACTCCCCCTCCACTGCGCTCCGGGCAATGCCGCCGTGCGCATCGGGATCCGCATCGGCGTCTGCATAGGAATCCGCATTGAATTGGAGCCTGGCCCGCATTGGAAATATCATGGGGATCCGCATGGGCCTGCGCCTGCGCATCTGCATAGGGATCCGCACGCCGCGTAAGGAGCCGCATAGGGAATCGCACAGGGATTCGCATGGCACTGCGCATGGGAATCCGCATAGGCATCCGCATCGGGATCCGCATAAGCATCCGCACAGGGATCCGCGCATGGATCCGCATAGGGATCCGCCTTGGGATCCGCATAGGGATTCGCATAGGGACCCGCACTGGGATCCGCATAGGGATCCGAAATTTGGATGTGTGTTCCCTGTAAAAGATTTGTATCTTCCTTCTGCTCCTCCCACTCCACCTCATCTTTCTCCTCCTCCTCCTCCTCCTCCTCCTCCTCCTCCTCCTCCTCCTCCTCCTCCTCCCCCTCGGAGGAGGAGGTGGAGGTGGAGGTGGCGGAGGAGGGAGGAAGGAGAGAAGAACGTCGCAGTCTATTATCAGCACTTCCCTGGCGTGGCGTTTAGTTGTCCGCAGCAGATCCTCACCTACATGCTCGTTTTACCTGTCCTGTAAACGCAGGCACTGTGGTGTACACCAGCGCTGCGTGCACGCGTATGCTGTGGTGTAGACAGGCGCTGTGTTGCACATGGCTGCTGCGGTGGTACACATTCGCTGTGGTGTACACCGGCTTTGTGGTGCACGTAAGCACTGGTGCACACGGGCGCTCCGTCGCACACGGCAGTTGCGGTGTACGCAGGGCGCTGTGGTGTACACGCGCGCCGTGGTGCACGCGAGCATTGTGGTGTACACAGGCGCTGTGGGGCAGGTCGCCACCTGCATGCTGCTCGCGTCGTCGTCGTCGTCGCGTCGCTCGGCGCTCGTCGCTCATCGTCGCCGTGCGCGCGGGCGCGGCTCTGGTGCCCGAGCCACACGGCTGGCTGGGGGGGGAGGGGAAGCATTATAGCCCCCTTCCCGCCCCCCCCCTATGACGCCGACGATCGCCAAAAGTGACGAAACGCGCCCAATTTCGTGCTTATGGCGTTGGCTTCCTCTGCTGGCCACCGCCGGGGGGAGTCGCCGGCTCCGCCCGGAGGGCGAGGCTCCAGGAGCGGAGCGCCAAAAGGTTGTGCTTATATGGCGTGTGCTGGTTCTTCTTCGTCTTATTGTTATTATTATTATTATCATTATTCGTATTATTAGTATTATTTTTCTTATGTTTCTTCTTCTTATTATTATTATTCTTCTTATTATTATTCTTCTTCTTCTTCTTTCTCTTCTCCTCCTTCTGCTGGGCCACCGGCCGCATTTCGGGGAGGGCACCTCCCCCGATCCACGGATTTGGCGACCGCGCGCCAAATCCAGGCATCGTTCATCCATGTCTGCGCGCCCCCGGTGCAGGAGCGGAGCTCGAGGAGGTGTGTGTTCGCCCCGCTCGGGGGGCCGGCGGCCTGGGGAGAGCTCCAGGGTGCGCCTGGGGGCCCACTGCCTCCAGGAGCCAGCGCCTCCTCGAGCCGGTGTTGAGTCGGGCGTGTCCTTCTGCAGGAGGAAAATTCCAAGGAACCAGTCAGAAGTTAGTCTGGGGACGATTGTCTAGCATTTCGGGTCACTGGTGGGTACTCTTTTTTTTGACTATTTTGAATGTTTCGCCTCAAAGCCGCCCGTAGGGTGACATGCCCGACCCAAAGCTGGTGGCCCCCCCCCCCACAGAGGTGACCCCCCCCCCCCTGAGGGCCAGGGAACGTCAGGCTCCTTGGCGTCGCTCGGGCGTGCGCGCGTTTTTTCTCGGCGGGGACCATGGAGGAGCATCCTGGAGCATCGAGCAGGAAAGACACGCACGACATCGACACGTGCACGGGGAATAGACGCCCGAGCGATGGCAAGCCCCAGTGGTGACCCCCCCCGAGGGCCAGGGCAACGTGAGGCTCCAGTTTACCGGAAGTCGGGCTTGCCGACGCTTGACGAGCCCGTCCTGGATCTGGGCAGTTCGCGGGACGTTTGCAGCGGCGGCTCGGCCTCAAGTTTCAGGCTGGGTATCGTCCGTTTCCTGACGACCCCGTCAGGCCAACTCGAGGCCCCCGAACCTCCCTGGCTTTGCCCCTCCTCCCCCTCCTCCTCCTCCTCCTCCTCCTCCTCCTCCTCCTCCTTTTCCTGCTCCTGCGACCGGAGGCCCGGCGTCTGAAGGCGTCCCTAGGGCTTGGTCTGCAGCGACCGTGCGCGGGTTAAGGTCGGGCCGACTCTTTGCCCGCGACCGACGATCGCAGTTCTGTGCGCCCCCAGAGCTTTGCCCCGAAGGCCGGCCAGTCCGCCGCCGACGCGCACGTCGAGGTGGCGCTGGCGGCGCCGCTGCCGCACGGGGCGCTGGGCGTCGCGGCCTGCCCCGAGGGCACCGTCGGCGGCGCCGTCGTCCGGTGCTCGGAGGGGGAGCTCGAGCTTGTGCAGAGCCACTGCGCCGCCGCCCCGGCACCCGCGCCGACTCCGCCCGACTGCCAGGTCGGCCAGGCGGCCAGCGGGGTGCAGGCCCTCAAGTGGGAAAAAGATCGGCACGGGCATCAACTCCTCCTCCTCCTCCTCCTCCTCCTCCTCCTCCTCCTCATCCTCCTCCTCCTCCTCCTCCTCCTCCTACCTCCTTCCTCCTTCCTCCTTCCTCCTCCTCCTCCTCCTCATCCTCCAGGCCACGCTCCACCTCCTCCTCCTCCTACTCCTGTCCTAATCGCTCGCCAACTCCCCAGGCGCCTGGGGCCTCCTGGGGTTTCTTGGGTCTTCCTGGGGCCTCCTGGAGCTTTTGGGGGCTTCCTGGGGCCTCCTGGGGCCTCCTGGGTCTGCCTGTTGCATATTGAAGCTGACTACTATGATTACTTGTACTACAACTACTACTACTACTACGACTACTACTACTTGTACTTGTACTACTACTACTACTACTACTACTACTACTACTACTACTACTACTACTACTACTACTACTACTACTACTGCTACTACTACTACTACTAACTACTACTACTACTACTACTACTACTACTACTACTATTACTATTACTACTACTACTACTACTACTACTACTACTACTACTACTACTACTACTACTACTACTACTACTACTACTACGACTACGACTACGACTACTACTACTACTACTACTACTATTACTACTACTACGACTACGACTACGATTACGACTTCCACTACCACTCTTACTACTACTACTACTACTACTACTACTACTACTACTGCTACTACTACTATTACTACTACTACGACTACGACTACTACTACTACTACTACTACTACTACTACTACTACGACTACGACTACGACTACGATTACGGCTAGCATCACTATTATTACGATTACTATGACTACGACTACGACTACGACTACTACAACTACTACTACTACTACTACTACTACTACTACTACGACGACGAATACGAATACTACTACGACGACGACTACTACGACGACGGCTACTACTTGTACTACTACTACTACTACTACTACTACTACTACTACTACTACTGCTGCTGCTGCTGCTGCTGCTACTACTACTACTACTACTACCACGAGTGCAACTAGTTTTACTATCACTACTACTACTACTACTACTACTACTACTACTCCGTTGAACTACTACTACTACTACGACTACGACTACTACTACTACTGCTACTACTTCACGACTACTACAACTACTGCTACTACCATTCCTACTACTACAACAACTACTACTACTACTACTACTTCTACTACTACTACTACTACTACTTCTACTACTACTACTACTGCTGCTGCTACTACTACTACGACTAGTACTACTGCTACGATTGCTCCTACCACGCTTTTAAAATACTATTATTACTACGACTACGACGATTATTATTACTACTACTACTACTACGACTGCTCTTACCACTTCTACGACTACCACTACTATTACGACTTCCACCACCACTGCTACCACTACTGCCACTGCTACTACCACATATACTACCACTGCTTCTACTCCAACTACGACTGCTACTACGACGACTTTAAACATTACCACGACCACTACTACTACTAGTGATACTATTACTACGACTGCCCCTACTACCACTATTTTGATGACTACGACTACTGGTACAACTACTACTACTACCACTAGGAACACGACGACTACTACTACGAGTAATAGTACTAGTAGGACTACCACTACTTCTACCAAACATACTACTACTTACTACTACTACTACCACTACTACTACCATCACTACTACTACTACTACTGCTACTACGCCTACTACTACTACTATTTCTTCTTAGTGCTAGTTCGACTGTTACTTCTACGTCTACGATGAGTACTACTAACTACTACCGCCACTACTACTACTACTACTACTGCTACTACTACGACTACTACTACTACTGCTACGACTACTATCTACGATCTCTTTTATACGATCTACTATCTACCATTCTTACTACTTCAACCATTATTACTACAACTACGACGTCGACTACTACTACTACTACTACTACTACTACTGAAACTACTACTACTGCGACTACTACTACTGCGACGACTACTACTACTACTACTACTACTACGACTACTACTATGACTACTACCACTACCCCTGCCACTACTACGACTACTACTACTACTACTACTACTACTACGGTTTCTGCTTCGGCTACTACTACTACTACTACTACTTCTACTACTACTACTACTACTACTACTACCACTACTACGACTACTACTACTACTACTACTACTACTACGACGACGACGACGACGACGACGACGACGACGACGACGACGACGACGACGACGACGACGACTACTACACTACTACTACTACCCCTACGACTACTAGTAGTAGTATTACTACCAGTACTACTAATACTACTACTACTACTACTACTACTACTACTACTACTTCTACTACTACCACTACTACTACTACTACGGCTAGTAGCAGTAGGCGTAGTAATAGTACTACGACTGATACTACTACGATTATTGCTACAAGTGCTGCGATTACTATTCTTATTACTTGTACGACTACGTTTACTATGCTCTTGTTTGTTACGAGTCCTACGACTACGACGTTTACTACTACGACGACTACTCCGACGACCACTACTAATATTTCTATTACTACTACCGCTATTACTTTTATCACGGTTACGCCAACGATTCCGTTCATTGTTACCATTCGCGCTACTTCTATTGCTACTACCACCGCTTCTACTTCTACGACTGTTACTACTACTACGACTACGACTTCCACTACCTTTACTACTACTATTGCGACTACTTCTGCTACGACTACGACTACGACTGGTCCGAACATTATGTGCACCTTGGTTCTACTATTTCGACTACTACGACTACGACTACTACTACTACTATTAAGACTCCGACTAGCAGCACGACTGCCACCAAAACTACCAGTATTACGGCTACTGCTACAACTACTATAACCACTACTACGGTACATGTATTAGTACACCTGGGTGACTACTCTCATTAGTTACCACCACGTCTACTACTACTACGACTACCACCATCACTACCACCACTACGGCACTACTACGACTACTACGACAACTACTACGACAACTGCTACTACGGCTACGACTACTATCTACGACTACGACTACTGCTACTACTGCTGCGATTGCTGCTGCTATTCTTACTACTAGTAGTAGTACGATGTTTACTACGGCTACTACTTTGACTACGACTACTTCTACTACTACTACAACTACTACTATTACGACCGCGATTATTATTACTACGATCACTACTACGGCGGATGCTACGACTTTATCATTCATACCACTACTACTATTTCGACTACTACGTCCACTACGATTACGACTACTACTACTACTATTACTACTACTACTTTTATTACTACTATTACGACTACTACTACTAGTACTATTAGTACTACTACGAATACGTCTACGACTACTACTACTATTACTACTACTACTACTACTACTACTACTAATACTACTACTACTACTACTACTACTACTACTACTACTACTACGAGTACTATTATTACTACTAGTGCTTCTACTACTACGACTACTGCTACTACTACTTCATATGGTACTACTACTACCACCACCACAAGACTACTACTACTACTACTCTTACTACTACTACTACTACTACTACTACTACTACTACTACTACTACTACTACTACTACTACTACTACTACTACTACTACCACTACCACTACCACTACCACTACCACTACCACTACCACTACCACTACCACTACCACTACCACTACTACTCCCACCGCTACTTCGTGCATTGGGCGTTCGATTCCTGGTTGTGCCAGCAATGCTTCTTAAGTTGAGGAAGGGCGGGTGGGAATGGGCATTGGGCATGCCACGTTGGGCTTGCTCGAGCTGGCTAGCTTGGCTCCTACTCCTACTCCTACTCCTCCTCCTTCTGCTGTTGCTGGCCCCTCTGGGCCCACCGGGGTCTTCCGCGCGCGCACTTGAGAGGGGCGCAGCGTACGGGAGCCATTGTCGGCGCAGCCTTCCATGGAGAAGCTGCTTGTTCGTTAAGAGCTGCGAGACGCAATCCATGGACAAGTTGTTCAGCAGTGATCAGTGGTGAAGTACATCGGCAAGTTTGTCAAACTGGGCTTTGTGATGATCAAGACCCGCCAGACGAATGTGACCAAGGCCAGCGGGAATCGTGAGTCGGCAGAGACGTTATCGCAGAGACGAGCTCTGCAGCGTCAGTGGCGTAGTACATCGATAAGTTTGTCATCCTTGGTTTTGTGATGGTCGAGACCCGCCAGAAGAAGGCGACCAAGGCTGGAAATCGTGGGATCTTCGGCAAGATCGTCATAGCGAGGGCGGTCCAAAAGTTCGAGAAGGAGGGAGGCGGAATCGTTGATTTCGAAGGCATGGGGTGCGTGAGCCGTGGTCTGGGATCGGCCTGGATCTCTTCGTCACCTCTACAGGGCTTGCCTCGGTTCTCTCTTGTCGCTTCTGATGGTTTCTCCTCGTTTTCCCTGGGTTCCCTTGGCGTGGGGTTCTCTCGTTGCCTCGTTGGGTTGCGGTTCCTTTGGCGTTTCGGCGTAGGCCTGAAGCGCGCTGGCCGCATGCTAGCGATTTGAGATTTTCGCTGGTCGATGTCTCGGCAGCAAGGAAAGGGTCACATGGACCAGTCTCCTCCTTTGGCTCGGCGCCAGGAAGCTCTTCACGCCCCGCAGCATCCGCACCCTCAGCACCCTCCTCCTGTTGTTGCCGTTGCCTTCTGCACCCGCGCCCCGGGCCGTCGCGACACGGCCGCACCCGCGCTGTTACGACATTTCAGCGAGTTTGGGCTGCAGGATCAGCTGCAACATCTTCAGGGCTGAACGTTACCATGTTCAGAGTTTGGCCTTGTGCTGTAGCGCTCGAACCGCATAGTTTTCTCGAGGGGCCGCGGCTTTCTCTTACCATTCGGGCGGGTTCTTGTTCGCGTCTCTTGTCCGTGCCCACATTTCTATTGTTGGCCAGAGGCGCTCCTCCTCCTCCTCCTTCTCCTCCTCGTCGTCCTCCTCCTCCTCGTCCTCGTCGTCCTCCTCCTCATCATTTTTCCTCCTCCTCCTCCTCCCCCTCCTCCTCTTTCTCATCATCATCATCATCGTCATCATCATAATCATCATCATCATCACCATCATCATCATCATCAGCATCATCATCATCATCACCAGCATCATCACCCTGTCGGAGCCCCGCGCAGACTTCCTGCATCGGCGCTGAGCCCTCCTCTCTGGCGCGCGAGGCGCGCCACGGGCGGCGGCGGAGGAGCCGCCAGGAGGGCCCAGCGCCGACCCCAGAACTCCGCGCGGAACTCCAGCTGTTCGGTTCTCTTCCGAGGCCAACATGTTCAACGTCAACGCCACCCTGGTGGCGCCGCTGCCGCAGGCCAGCGCGCGCGCGCAGGGGGGGGGACCTCCTCCACCGCGTTCGTGAGCCTCTTCGGGGCCCCCCCTCCTCGCCACGGCGGGGCGCCGCGGGGTCTTGCACGCAGTCTTGGCTGGGGTCGCGGCGAGGGGGGCGGCCCTCCAGTCGCACGCAACGGGGCCGGTTGGGAAGGGGAAAGGGGGGGGCACAACATCTCATTTTTTTTCTCCTTATAGATAACTTATCCCAATGGCACTCCGAGGCCCGTTTTCAGGGCGGGCTGGGCGTTTCGCCTGAGACTTCCTCACCACTCATGACTCCGAAGTTTAAAAATGACATTTTCACAGATGGAGGGCGGGTCGTTTTCAAAATGTGACTCTCGCCTGAGCGCCTCGCACATTCGTTTTAAAACTTTGCAAGAGCTTCACGGATTGAGGGCGCGTCGTTTTCCAAAATGTGGTTCTCGCCTCAGCGCCGCGCACATTCGTTCTGCAAATTTACAAGGGTTTCACGGATTCCGATGATCAGCGTAACAGCAATGTTGTTTTGGAAGGATTCATGGTTATGCGGGCGCAACAGTTACGTTGATTCGTTGTGCTGATGTCCCAAGAATGGCGGTCTAGCACGATTGTGGATCGTCAAAACGCAACATTCAGGTTGATACGCGGGGTGGACATCGCGAGAACAATGTTTTGGCATATTCCAAGGTCTTCAAATTGTTGTCTTCCACCGAGGCAGCTTCCTCAATGGAAATGAACCGCTGTAGGGGCCTATGAAGAGGGAGCTCGGAGGGAGGTTGAACTCCAACATCGTTGGTGACTCTTGGGTTTCCACTGATGCTCCTCCTCCTCCTCCTCCTCCTGCTCCTCCTCCTCCTCCTCCGTAGCCATTTTGGCTCAAGATGCTCGTTCCACAGGGGAACACGTGGATACCGCTAGTCCGCGGCAGTCTTCAGCGATTTTGTGAGTCTTGCTGGAGCAAATTCTTGTGAGCTCCTGCAGGAGCATCAGATGGGCGGTGGAAGCAAGGACGCGTTCACCACGTGCACGGGCTGCGGCAACTGGGCGTGGAACTGGCGCCTCAAGCGACAGAAGGGTGCCTGCGCCATCTGTGGCACGCAGATGCCTGGGTGGACTTCCTCGGCCAACGGCACGTGGTACGCCCCGTGGTGGGGGGGGCAGTCCGCTTGGCCCAAGCTCCCCTCCGCGCCGACGTTGGACGACTACATGGCCAAGGCGCTGCAGTCGGCTGGCCTGGGCGCGGATCCCGTGGCGGCGCAGCTGGCGACGCAGCTCGGGGCCTTGGCGGCGGCTAAGAAGCCTGCTGCCGCGCCCAAGCCAGCATACTCGGTGCTCAAGGCGGCCACGGCGGAGTGCTCCCGCAAGCAGGACGCCTTGGACAGGGCGGCGCGTGCCGTCGAGAGCGCCAAGCTGCAGCTGGAGAGGGCGACCGCGGCCTGGGAGAAGGCCACTGATGAGATGGTCGAGGCGGAGTGCGCGCGCCTGCAGGCTCAGGAGCGCGTCGACACGCCCCCTGACAAGCCCGACGGCATCACGTTCAGGGTCGACCCCACCTTGTTCGCGGAGCTGGACGAGCTGGAGGAGTCGGACAGGACGGCGCTGGAGAACTTCCAGAAGCAGCTGGAGGAGATCTCTAAGCAGGCGTCGGAGAAGCAGAAGGAGTTCCAGCGATTGCTGGACCAGGCGAAGAACGCCCACAAGGAGGCGGCCACCAAGCGGCGTCGTCGTGACGAGGATGGTGGTGCAGTTCGCGGTGACGGAGACAGCGGAGGTGTCCCTCCCGCGGCCGCGGCAGGCCCAGGCGGCGCCACTGCGGCTGCCAGCCAGGGCAGCGTGGCCGCGCCCGCCGTCTCCGACGCGGTGCGCAAGGACATGCGCGCCAAGTTCCAGGACAACTCGGTGGTCCAGGCGAAGGCGGCAACCCGCGCCAAGGCTGCTGCCAAGCCTGGTGGCCAAGGCGCTGATGCTGCCCCTCCTGCTGCTGGGGCCACGGGCTCCTAGCAGGGAGGCGCCGCGCCCCTGGCAGCGGGGCGAAGCGCTGCTGGCTTCTGAAGACGTACCTGATCCCGAGGATGACTCGCTGTCCATCCTCTTCGGCAACATCACGGAGTGGGGGCCGCAAGCTGCGCGATTCTTGTCTCAGGAGTCGGCGCGCAGCGTGGTGGCCTTCTGCGAGACACACAAAGGACCAGATGATATGCCCGACATCCGGTCGGGGTTGGACAAGGACGGCTGGAGGGTCACCCACACGGCTGCTCGGCCATCGGGCAAGTCGGACACGGGCCTCTCTGGCGGGGAGTGGATATTGACAAAGAAGCACATCGCTGCGACGAGCTTTGAGAGTGTTCGCCGCGCATCGCTGGAGGCTGGCAGGTTGGACCCCTGCCGCGGGTTCGTGCCGCTGGTGCTCCACACTCGTGCTGGCAATTTGGTGCTGATCTCAGCCTACCTCCAGCCTGGCCTGGGGGTGAAGGGTTGGAACAACGAGGTGCTCGTGGCGCTGGGCTCCTTCGTCCGCTCCTTGGCGGACCCCTTCTTGATCATGGCTGATTGGAATATTGAGCCAGGGCCCTTTGTGCAATCGGGCTGGCCTGAACGCCTGGGCACTCGGGTGGTCACACCGACGTGTCTCACTACATGCGATAAGGGTCCTGGCAGAATGTACGACTATGGCTTGGTGGGCCGTGGCTTTCCTGAAGTGACCTTGAGCCCTGATCTGTCGGTGCCGTGGAAGACTCACTGCGGGGTGCACATCTCGGTGAAGGCAGCACGCACCCAGCGCTGGTACCGTCAGCTCGTGCTGCCGCAGCCGCTGCCGTCTCGAGAAAGGCCTCGTGCGGTCGCTGACCCTGACAGCAAGACGTCGAAGCGTAAGGCTGCCGCTCGTGAACGCAAGTTACAGCAATTTCCGTCAGACATGCAGGACTTGTTCGATGATTTCTTTGGGCCCATGGAGGGGCCAGATGGCATGGCGTCCTTTGGGGGCCCCCAGAGCACGCACTGCTCGCCACCCATGCCCGCTGGGCCAACGGGGGTTGAGGGTACCGACTCTGGGGGCAGTCGACCTGACGTCGCCAGCGAGGTGGCTTTTGCTATTTCTGATGAGACCTGGGACGAGGCCACGACTCAGATTTACTGGGAAGGCGTCCCTGAACCGCATGGCCAGGTCCCTGCTGGATTCCTGGGTCATCATGCTCCTTACGACCCAGCACGACACTTCGTGTTCCGCTGGCAAGTTGAGGGCCGAGCGCGGGTCGATGTTTTGCACAACCATTGGGTTACGGTCATGGAGAGGGCTGTGCTTCTGCATGAGAAGGTTGACTCTGACAAGTGGAAGCAGTACTCAGGCCGAGCTCGTGGCCCTGCCTGTTGTTGGAAGTTGGTACGGTCGACTCCTGGACGTGCTCACATGCGCAACGAGCAGGCTGAGTGGTGGGGCCTTGTCAGCACGCTGGTCACGCGCTACGTGGCCTTGGTGAGGAACGATTCTGACCCGCACCAGGCGGCCCAGTGCGTCGTGAAGGCGCGGCACCTGATCGAGCAGCTGGACGGCAAGTCGGATGAGCTGTTCTTTGGCAAGAAGCAGGACCCTCAGGAGATCTTCGTCTGGAAGAGCATGGTGCACAGCCTGGACCTGGTCGACGCTGCTTCCTTATCTGAGTTACTGGAGAGAACTCGCAGGTGGGCTGATCTGTCAAACGCTCGGGCCATGATGGCCTCCAGGTCCGCCTTCATGAAATGGGTCCAAGAGATGTGGTCGGCAAAACCTGGGGCTGTTCACAGACACGTGAAACCAACGGAGGCCCCAGTTTGGGAAAGTAAGGACTCCTGGGGCACTGTCACTTCGGACAACCAGGCAATGCTTCAAGGTCTGGCGAAGGAGTGGCAGACGATGTGGACCGACCCAGTCGACTCGCCTGAGGACGTTCTGGCGATGATGCAGAAGTGCTTCGACGCTGCCAGGGAGGACCCTCTGCCCATCATCACTCTGCTGGACCTGGATGCCGTGCTGCCGAGGATCCCTGCAAGGAAGGCCAAGGGCGTTGACGCTCTGAGCCCCTTGGACATTCAACGACAACCTGATGCAGCTCGTCAGGCCTTCGTGGACACCTTGAACGCGATCGAGGCAGCAGGGGTATGGCCTTCCAGTCTCAGCAGTGTCTTCGGCGCGGCCATCCCGAAGGAGGCGGGGGGCTGCCGTGTGCTGGGGCTGGTTCCCATGCCGCAGAAGGTGTGGTCCAAGATCCGCTCTCGTGCTTCGGGGGAGTGGTCTGCGTCGCTCTCTGCTTTCTGGGATACAGCTATTGCTGGATCGTCCGCTTTACGGGCGGCGCTGATTCGTGCTGTGATGGACGAGGGGGCCCATGAGCTGGCCTTTGAGCATGCGACGCTTTTCTTAGATTTGACTAAGTTCTACGACTCGGTGAGTTTTGTATTGCTCATGCAGGCTGGCCTGCAGATTGGATTCCCGCCGATCATTTTGCTGCTGGAGATAGGCCTCTACTCCTTTCCGCGCCTTTTGAAGAAGGGCCAGATGATCACGGAGGCGGTGGAGGTCACCAGGTCGATCGTCGCGGGGTCTGGGCTCGGAGTACCTCTGGCCAAAGTGATGTTGCATCGGCTGTTGGATACCGTCCATCGTGAGGTTCCTCCTGCTGGCCTGTGGAGCTATATCGACGACATTGTTGGCCGCGCGGAGGGCACCAAGCAGAAGGTCATCCGCGACCTCGAGGCGACGGCCGATGTCATGGCAGACGGCCTTCGCGAGCTCCGTCTCCAGATCTCCACCAAGACGAAGCTGGTGGCGAGCTCGGACGACCTTGGCGCGGAGCTGGAGAAGCGGCTGCGCCGCAAGGGCATCCCTGTGGAGTTCGTGCGCGCCACGGTGGACTTGGGCGCCGACGCTGCCGCTGCCAGGGTGAGGGCCTCTGCCAGGATGATGAAGCGCCGCGCCCAGGCAAGACGTAGACAACGTAAGGTGATGAAGGTCAGGCGCCTGGCCAAGCTTCGCTTTGTGACGAAGAAGCTCTGGTCGACAGGCGTGTACCCAGCGTCCGTCTTTGGTCATCAGCTGATGGGAACCCCTCCTACTACGCTGTTGGCCATGCGACGCGATGCAGCTGCAGCGGTGGCTGGTACGAAGCGGGGACGGTGCCTGACCACCGTGCTGCAGGCGATCTACGGCACTGCGGAACCTGGTGTCGATTTACGCCGTCAGTTGCTGCGTGAATGGGTGGCCTTGTGGTTGGCACAGCCTGGTCTTCATCCACGGATCTGCAAGGTATGGCCCATCGTGTTGGCGAGACTCAAGCGTGGCAAGGCCGTCTGTTGGAAGGATGTTCGTGGCCCGATTGCTGCACTGCAAGCGACCTTGCTGCAAGTGGGTTGGGATCCCCAGTCGCCGTTGGTGTGGTCTCGGCCCTTAGCAGACGGCACGATTGATGATTGGATCTTCCCCTCCTTCGGTGACGAGCAGTTCGGCACGGCGGTGCTGGCCCACTTTGATGACATGCTGGGCGCCTTCATGGATGATTGTGTCGCGCAGCAGTGGCAGTCAGCTTCTCATCATGCGGCTGGCGACGACCTGGCGGACGGCGCCGACTTGACGACTGTGACCATCGAGCTGAACCGCTTCGCCAAGCGGATGCAGTTCGACGAGTGGTCGGCGGATGTCGCCGTGGTGAGCGGCGGCCAGTGGACTCGTGAGAGGCAGATCGCCGCAGGTTATGCCTGCCCGCTGCTGTGCCCCCGTTGTAAAGAAAAGCCTGAGACTTTAGCGCACCGTATTTGGACGTGCTCAGCTAACTGCGGGCACGAAGATTTTGCAAATACTGACTTTCTGGTCCCCCAAGCCCTCGCGAGCCTGGACGCGCAGCCCGCGTTATGGCTTCGCGGAGTGCCCCCGAAGGACCTTGTGGTGCCCAAGTTTGTGGAGAGCTCTGAGGCGGCCCAAAAGGTCCTTCTTGGGGAGGGGGCTTTGCTTGATCACTGCGTGGCCCCTGGAGCTCCCCCCCTGTACATTTTTGGGGACGGTTCTGGAGGCGAGCACAGTTCGGATCCCCGTCGGAGGCGATGCGGCTCGGCTATCGTTGTGATGTGTCAGGATGCCTCGTCGCCTTTCTGGAGCCCGGCTTGCGGGGTGGCTCAGATTCTCTCGGGTAGGAAGCAAACTGTTCCGCGTGCTGAGCTGCAGGCTCTCTGTCTCGCCCTTGAGAGCTCGAGGGGACCGATCTGCTACGTGACCGACTGTAAGAGTTTGACTGCTGACTGGCACAACGGACGTGTCAAGCTTCCTCGGGGCCTTAACGGGGATCTCTGGGTCCGTGTCGGCACCGCTTTGAGGACCCGCGGCCCTGGGGAGGTTTCTGTTTTGTGGACCCCCTCCCATAGGGAGGACGAGTTACAGTTGGTCAAGACTGAATTCGATTTGTTCCTGAGCCTGGGCAACGCCTGTGCCGACGCCTGGGCTGGAGCCGCGGCCCAATGGGCCTGGGAGTGGTGTGTGTCGCCCCCTGTTCCCCGTACCGATTTGTGGGACACGACGGCGGCACTGGTGAGGCTCAGAGCTCGGAGGGCTCTGTTGATGGCGCTCGAGGTTGAACCTTGGGTCGGCGAGAGACCTGCCCGCGAGCGTCAGCAGCGTAGGCCAACCCGTTTGGAGACGGCCCTGGCCAGGAGCTCCCATGTCTTTGTCCCCTTTGCGGGGCGCTGGAGGTGTAAGTTGTGCAAGGATATTATCCCGCGTAGTAGGCTTTTCCAGGTCGCCTCGACCCAATGTGTTGGTCGGTCTCTCGCCCCGCAGCTGGACGCGGCGGAAAAGACTGGCCTGCCTGCGGAGTATGGTGAGGGTTTCGAGGCGGCCTCTGGCGAAGTGCGAGTTGGTGGAGTTTTGTTGCACCCCAGCCACCAGCTCGCCAAGATGAAAGCTTTTGGTCTTTTCTTCTGCATGACCTGTGGTCGCACGGCCACTGCGGATGCCAGGCACTCGTCTGTTGCGTGCTCCCCCCCCACCCGCAAAGGTGGGGAGAACTTGCGCAGAATTCAGAAAGGTTTGTTTCCGAGCTATCGTGGCCCACCCGTGTCTGTGATGGCTGCTCAGACAGAAGATGCTGTGCGATGTTCCCTCCCCGCCTGCGGGCCCCTGGTGGAAGCCTCACCTGCTCGTGGCTCGGAGGCTGAGGGGAGGGAGTCTGATCATGATTTGTTAGATGAATACTTGAGAGTGGCGTCGAGACGCCACCCGAGCGACACGGCGGCCACCATGCGCTACGACGAGGCGCCCCGTGCTGCTGCCGCTGGCCCGCCTGCTGCCGCCGCTGCCTTGAGGGAGGTGGCGGCGTGGCCTCGTGTGTTGTGCGGCAGCGGTGGCCCTGGGCAGCAGCGTGGCGGAGCGTCAGCGGTGGTGGATGACTGTGATTGATCGGCCGCTTCGCGGCGCTCAGCAGAGTCCAGCAGAGTCCTCCTCCTCCTCCTCCTCCTCCTCCTCCTCCTTTTCCTCCCCCTCCTTCTGCCGTGTGCAGTTTGTTCCGGCCCCGCCGCCGGGCGCCTCTCCCGGAGACGCCCCCCCCCCGTCCTTCTGGGCCCTGGCCGGCCCACTCGCCCGACCCGAGGGGGGCCCTATTCGAAGGGGCCGGGGGCCTCCGGGAAGGACACGATGCGGACACGACGCGGATTTGGGGCGGATCCGACGCGGATTCACATGGATTCGACACGGGTTCGACGCGGACGGGAGTGCGACGGGGCTCACTACCCACCAAACCACCCTGACCCAACCCGAAAGGCTCCAGTTGCCCACCATTCCCGTGGGGGGGGCATCAGGGAACATTTGGGAGGGTGCAGCCACGGTGGAGGTCCCAGGCCCCAGCGGCGAGAGGCGTTCTGGCCGGGATCGTCGGGAGCGGAAAAGAGGGGGGTGATGACTAGGGGGGGGGGGGGCGGATCTCATGGCGCGGGCCATGATTTTTCCTCAGACTTCGTGGCGCCTCTTCTTATTCTATTGCGTCCCAGGCCCCCCCGCTGGGCCGCGCACATGCCGCCGGTCATGATTTGCACCCCCCCCCCTCTTGGACACCCCCCTCTTGGCCGCGCCCGAGATCGGGGCGAGGGGGCGGCATTCCAGGCAGGCAAGGGGGTTGCGGGGTCCAGGCCTCTCGCACGGGATCGGAGCGGGCGGGTCGGAGGGTGGTGCCAGAGCGGCGAGGCACCGGCCCTGCGGCTCGGTGCTGAGCCCACTCTCCTCCACGCCGACGCCGCCGATGCATCGGCCATGCGGCGCGATGCTCCGAGCCCATCTGCTCTGACTCCACGTGGGAGGAGGCCTCTGGGGGGACGCTTCCAGGGGGCCAGGGGGCCTCCGGGGAGGCCTCTCGGAAGGCAGGGCGGCGTCTGCGCTCGGAAGGGGCCCGCGGCCCCCCCTGGGAGCGCCACCCCCTCGCGCCCCCCCCGCCCCCCTGCGCGCGCCGTTCGAACGCAGGGGAAAATGAGGATCGTCAACTGCACCGCTGGCTGGGTCGGGCTCGCGGTGGTGGAGTGCATGCAGGCGGACCAGCCACGGCCGGGGGAGCCGTGGTCCTTACCCCCCCCCCCACCTGGGGGGCCCATCGCGTTCGACAGCCCTCGAGGCATCCCAGACCCCCGACGTAATGATTCTTTCATTACGTCGCCCTCCAGAGGTCCCGACCCTTTCCCCATGACCGGCTTTGCATCCTGAGTCGTTTTTTGACGCTCCCGAGGCCCGGTGAGGGCCCCCAGAGGCCGAAAATTAGGAAAAACCTCCCGTCGTGATCTTTTCATTACTCGAGGGGGTCTGGGATCGTCGACACCTGTGGGGCCCCACACGGGAAGGGTGGTGAGGACCGCAGCCTTCCCGAGCTTGGGCCGGTGGGTGCAGGGGGGCACCCACGAGGTCGTGGAGAACCGCTGCTCGTACCCCGCCTCGGCTCCGACGCCGACGCCCGCCGCCTGCGAGCCGGGGGTGGTAGCCCCGCCGAGCTTTGGCTCGGCGTCCGGCGCGGCGGTCGCCAGCGAGAGCCTGACGTCACCGCTCGAGCACGGGGGGCTGGTGGTCGTCGACTGCTCCGATGGCTACGTCGGCTCCGTGGTGGTGGAGTGCTCGCAGGGCGGCCTGAGAGTGCTGCTGCACAACTGCGCCCCCGTCCCCGGGGGCTGCCAGAGGTATCCCTGACCCAGGGTGCCTCCAGCTTCCCGCTCCGCTCTGGAGACCCCTCCCTCCTCCCTCCTCCTCCCTCCCTCCTCCTCCCTCCCTCCTCCCTCCCTCCTCCCCCCTCCCTCCTCCCTCCTCCCTCCTCCCTCGTTCCTTCCTCCAGGGGCCCTCGTGGTGCTCCGAGGGCCACGGGGGCCTCCTCGGCAAACCTGGGGGCACTTTTGCCCCGAGATCCGACGCACAGCGAAACAGCGCAGCATCGCAAGCATCACGCCCGGAGCCCTGGACACCACATCTCCGTGCGCCCCTTTCCCGGCCGGATCGATCTGCTCGGGCTGGACGAAAGGGGGGGATTGGCAAAGGGGGGGTTACGAAATTTGCTGCATGCAGCTGGTTTTTTCGGCCCCACCGAGGGGCCCATTCCTCGATACATAGCCGCCTCTGGCGCCGGGAGGCGCCGGGAAAATCAGCTACGCGAGCTGATTCTCAAACCCCCCCTTTGCTATCCCCCCCTTTCGCCCGACCCGATCTGCGAGGGCCCCGCGGGGCCCGAAAAGATCGGGACGCCAGGATCCCTCGGGCCGAGCGCAAGGGGGGAAAATCCAGGGAAGGGGGGGATACGAAATCTGCTGCATGCAGCCGGTCTCGGCCCCGCCGCCGCTTCCTGGATACATGAGCGCCTCCCGGCGCCAGGCGGCGCTGGGGACATCAGCTGCGTGAGCCGATGCTCCACCCTACCCTCTGCCATCCCCTCCGCATCCCTCCCCCCGAACCTCAGGGCGGCTCCCAGGGGCACTTCTGGCAGCGCCCGACACCCCCACGCCCAGTCCGGCCGCGACCCCGGCCCCGACGGCCGCCCGCTGCGGGGCGGGCGCCGGCGCCGCCACGGCGGAGGGGCTCCAGCTCGCCCTCGCGGCCTCGCTGGAGGACGGGGCGCTGCGGGCCGTGCCCTGCCCCGACGGCCACGCCGGCACGGCCGTGCTGAGCTGCTCGGGCGGCTCCGTCGAGCTCGTGGCGATCGGGGAGCGAGCAACGACGCAAGCTTATAAGTCAGATCGTGAATTGCCTACCCCGCTTTCGCTTCCAGGCAAAACCAAGTCAGACCACGCGCCTCCTCGTCAAGCGGCCTGACCAGTGCAGGCCGTAGTTTGGCATCGCTTGGTATCTCTTGGAAGCGAGGACGGCCAAGAGCGAGGTAGGCTTGTTTGCCCCCTAATAGGAGCTCGGAGGTCCGCGCGGACTTCTCGGATCGGCGCTCGGCGCCGCTCCCTGGCGCGCGGAGCTCGCCAGGGGCGGCGCCGGAGGCGCCGCCAGGGGGCCCCAGCGCCGATCCAGGAGGTCCGCGCGGATTCCGAGCTTTCATGTTTACACCTGAGGCGATGCTTAAGAAAACCCAAGTTTTCGGCCAGAGTCTCGATTATTCTTAATGTTTCGATGTAAATCCTAAGATTTGAATGGAAATGTTGGGTTTTTATTCGAATTCTGAGACTATGAATTTCTTAACCCATGATTTCTAAAGCATTTCGCAGGGTGTATGCCATTCTTCGTTCCCCCAGGTGAGCACCTGCGCGGCGCTCCCGGCGCCGGCGCCGGCGCCGCCCACCACCCCCGCGCCGACGGGGGCCGCCTGCGAGCCTGGGGTGCTGAGCGTCGCCGGAGGAGCTGCCGAGCGGCGAGCTTCTCGAGCAGGTGCATCGACTACAGAGCTGATGTGCCCCAGACTTGTGTGTTTTTTCCCGTCGGACCTACGACAGGACAGTCGGGCCGAGGCATAAGATCGAGGTCGGTTCGGGGAGGGTACCTTAGTGCTCTCGTGTTTGTGGGATGCTATTGTGCATCGGGGTGAGTGTGCCCGTGGATATCATGTTTGTTTTGGCCGACGGGGGGTATCCTGTTCTTGAGGGATGCTATTCTTGCTTAGATCCGACTGTACAGAGTTGGTGTACCCCAGAATTGTCTGTTCCGTGGAACCTTCGGAACGACGTCTAATGCTCTTAGACCTACGAGCATTTTGTGCATTTGTTCACAGAGTCGGCGAACAAATCAATGTTGGGGTAGATCAGTTCTGGAGTCGATCCCCTACTCGAGACGCGAGGTGGACCCCAGTAGGTTTAGACCGCTTCCCTGGGACCGGCTTTTCATCCCCAGTCGTTTGTTGACGGCCCTGGGGCCTGGCAAGCCCCCAGAGGCCGAGCACCGCCAAAAACCGCCCGCCGTGCTTATTCTTCGCGACGCCACCATGCCTGGCACTACCGGTATGTGCTGCCCCGAGCGCGGCAGGATCATGTGGTGCCCCGCCCCCTCCGCCAGATCGAACTCCTGGGTCGCGCCTGGAGCCACGATAAGCCCGCAGTCTTCGAGCCCGATCGACTTGTGAGAGGCCCGGGGCCCGGCACGGGGCGGGAGCGCCCGGCGTGGAAACGCTGCTCGCCCGCGAGGAGGCGCCGACTCAGCGGAGCTCAGCCTGGCGACGCCGCTGCTGCCGCCAGGGCTGAGCGTCGTGCCCTGCCCGGGCGGGGGCGCCGCGGCCGCCGCGGTCGTGGAGTGCTCAGGCGGCGCCCTCTCGCTCGTGCTGAGCCGCTGCGGCGGCAGCGCCCCGGCGCCGTCCCCGGCGCCCGATCTTCATCCTCTTCCTGCTCCTTCTCCTCTTCCTCGTCCTCCTCCTCCTCCTCCTCGTCCTCCTCCTCCTCGTCCTGCTCCTCCTCGTCCTGGTCCTCCTCCATCTCCTCCTCCTCCTCCTGCTCTTCCTGCTCCTCCTGCTCCTCGTCCTCCTCCTCCACGTCCTCCTCGTCTTCCTCCTCCTCCTCTTCCTCTTCCTCATCGTCCTACTCTTCCTCCTCGTCTTCCTCCTCCTCCTCTTCCTCCGCCTCCTCTTCCTCCTTATCTTCCTGCTCCTCCTCCTCCTCTTTCACCTCCCCCTCCTCATTCTCCTCCTCTTCCTCCTGCTCCTCGTCCTGGTCCTCCTCCTCTTCCCCCTCCTTCTCATCCTTCTCCTTATCTTCCTCCCTAGCTCCTTGCTCCTACCCCCACCTCCTGCTTCTCCTCCTCATCATCCTCCTCTTCCTCTTCCTCCTCATCCTCCGCCTCGTCCTGCTCCTCCTCCTCCTCCTCCTCCTGCTCTTCCTGCTCCTCGTCCTCCTCCTCCTCGTCCTCCTCGTCTTCCTCCTCCTCCTCATCCTCCTCCTCCTCATCCTCATCCGAGTCCTCCTCTTCGTCATCCTCCTCCTCCTCTTCCTCATCCTCCTCCTTTTCCTCCTCCTCGCCCTCATTCTCCTCCTCCTCCTCCTCTTTCACCTCCCCCTCCTCCTCCTCCTCCTCCTCTTCCTCCTTCTCCTCCTCCTCTTTCTGATCCTCCTCGTCCTCCTCTCTCTCATCTTCCTCCCTAGCCCCTAGCTCCTTGCTCCTACCCCCACCTCCTGCTTCTCCTCCTCCTCGTTCCCCTCCTCATCCACCTCCTCCTCCTCCTCCTCCTGCTCCTCTCCTGTTCCTCCTCCTCCTCCTGCTCCTCCTCGTCTTCCTTCACCTCCTCCTCCCTATTTTTCTTTACGTCCTCCTCCTACTCTTCCTCCTCCTCCTCCTCATGCTCCTCTTCCTGCTTCTCCTCCTGCTCCTCGTCCTCCTCCTCCCTTCCTCCTCTCCTCCTCCTCCTCCTCCTCCTCCTCGTCTTCCTCCTCCTCTTCCTCCTCGTCCCTCCTCATCTTTCTTCCTAGCCCCTAGATCCTAGCTCCGACCCGCACCTCCCTCCCTTCTCCTCCTCCTCCCCTCTCCACCTTCCCCTCCTCTTCACCTCCTTTTCCTCCTCATTCTCCTCCTCCTTCTCCTCCTCCTCTCCCTCCTCTCCTCCCTCTTCCGCCTCCAGCTTACCCTCGTCTGTCTCCTCTTCCTTCCTTCCCCTCCTCCTCCTCCTCCTCCTCCTCTTCCTCTCCTCCTCATCCTCCTCCGCCGTCTCATCCTCCTCCTCCTCCTGCTCCTCCTCATCCTCCCTCCTCTCCCTCCTATTCACCCTCCTCCTCATCCTCCTCCTTCTCTTCCTTCTCCTTTTGTTCCTGTTCCTCCTCTTCCTTCCCCTCCTCCTCCTCCTACTCCCACTACTACTACCACCACCACCACCACCACCACCACCACTACTACTAGTACTACCACCACTACTACTACTACTACTACTACTACTACTACTACTACTGCTACTACGACTACTACTAATAATAATACTACTACGACTACCACTACCACTACTACTACTACCACTACTACTACTACTACTACTACTACTACTACTACTACTACTACTACTACTACTACTACTACTACTACGACTACGACTACGACTACGACTATTACTA